GGCCTTTTCAGTTGAGGACCATTGGATACCCATCGGGTTTTCCCCAAGAAGCACGGTGTTGCAAGTCCACATGATCCAGGCTGAAGGCATTGACTTTTCACAGGTTGAGGAAATTGTGGAACATATCTCAAACACTCTTGGTTTCATGTCCTTTGCAATCCATCGGATTCCGGACTCGCTGCCTGAACACCGAATGTGTGGAGCGTTTGCAATGTGTTTCCTTGCGCATGTAGTCATGGGAATGCCACTCCCGACTGATCTTGCTGAGTTGCGTACCTTGCATGCCAACATGAGAGCATCATTTGTTGCCCACTTGTATGCCAATGACTCCACGCCACGACCAGTGATTTGGGGCCTGGGAAAGAAAGCCAAAGAGGCTGATGACAATCCTTTCGTGGCTTTTGCTGCAGAGGTCTCAGAAGTCAACCGTTGGCAGTTAGCACAGCCGTCTGAACTGCCATTGACCCCGGGACTTGTTGCTACTCAGGGGACAGTGGAATGTCAAAACCAGAACAATGATGCCTTCAATATGGGCCAACTTACCGGCCATGGAGAACCTGCAGGTACCACCAAGGACAATCTCCCAAGGGTACCCATTGAGAGACCATCAGGTAGTTCCTCACGGGAATCCAGGCCACTCCCTAGAATGCCTGAGGAAATCAGAACGGCAGATGATGCCCCTGCTGCACAGGATGCCCAGTCGCTACTCACTGCGGCCGATTGCAATTGTAATGTGATGCATCCTGGTGAGGTACAACCACAGGCTGTTCCTGCAGAATGGGAATCCGGGCGACTCCCTAGAATGCCCGAGGATGTTCAAGATGCCACACCCGAAAGCATGCAAACTTTCATCACGACTGATGAGGCGGGTTTGAGTGACCAAGTGCCAGGGGCCAGGGCGAATGCCCCACCCTTAACTGACCCAGTTGTTGCATCCCAGCGTATGGCAAGACTCCGTCAGGTCACCTCACATAGCTATGCCATGGCCGATGATGAAATGCAATTTCAGTTACAGCATCTACTTGACTGTCACAATCCAGACGACACCAGGAAGTTTATGGTGGCACCATGCCTTGGCACGTTCCAATGGACCATTGGTGAGCCCTCGGTTCTCGATGACTGGATCCGTGACCACTGGTTGCCACGAGAAGACCCTGACACGCACTTGTTTGTTGCCCTGTTGGTCGAGGCTCATTGGATACCCATCTGGTTTGCACCCAGTCCGAATGGACTACAAGCCCATACTCTGGCCAATTTTGCTAGTGATGAACCTTTGATCGACAGCATTCTGCACTTGTTTGTCACCAAATTGGGTATGTCTCTCCACATGATCCATCGGGCTCCCCATGGGATTGACATTGACGGTTTGTGTGGAACCATGACTGTCAGCTTCTTTGCCCATGTCATGTTGCGGTCAGCGCTTCCACGCACGATTGAAGACCTGTATGCTCGATGCTGGAAGATGAAAGAAATCTTTGCCAACTCACTCCGAACTGGACCGATCACACAGCCGACGGTTTGGGGGTGGGGTCTTGATTGGGAATGCAGGCCACTCCCTATAATGCCTGCCTGGAACATGGTGTATGAACTGCTCAATGAGATGTTTGAGTTTGCCAAAGTCACCAAACCCACAGTTTTCATTGATGCGACTCCCTTCCGTATGCCTGCTCCGGTTGGAATGACCTATGATGAAATGGATTGGCATGTTGCTGTCCTTGAGAAGCATTGCCCTCTTGGTATGTGGAGAACGTTTGTTGGTAGATCACAGCTTGACACCCACCTCAGAGCTTTTGCCAGTTGCAACCAAAGCATTCTATTGTGTGCCCTGCTCAGCCAGTTTCACTGGTCGCCTGTGATTGCCCTCAAACATCATGGCTCCCTGGTGGTGTTTCTTGAAAGTGGGGTCGCCTTCCAAACAAAGCTCCCGACACTTGAGGTTCATGAAGTCATTGCTGAGGCTGACACGCTCTGCTCTTGTGGGGTAGCTACATGGAAGGTGTTGGCAAGGATTTGGGATTTTTGTGAAATCATTGGTGAGGCTCATGATGTCCGTGCTATGTTGTTTCACCTCTTTCCCTTTGTTGAGCAAGTCAAACCGATGATTGGTTATGCCCCCCATGGACAGCTGTTAAAAAACTTGAGTGCTGAACTTGCCAAGCATGGAGTGCCAGAAGACCAGTTGGAGGAACGAGCCCAAGCTGCCATCAAGGCGTTAGGGAGTGAACAGTTGCTTACTGCCCTGAACCACCGTCAACCATGGCGCCAACTGAAAGCCTTGGGAAACAACTCGCGTTTCCAGTTTGTGCTTCCCAGTGAACTTTCCAAGGTGGTTGATGCTCAGAAAGGGAGACCGGTTGTCAAGGGCAAGGGTAAGGGCAAATCCAAAAGCCCCCCTCAACAGGTTGACATTGACCCAGCCAAGCTCCAAGTAGTTGATGGCACTTTCCGCTGTCAGAATCAGGTGCTCCCCCAATTGACCATGAAGCAAATTGGCCCACTGAGTAGTGGAGTCATTTTAATGAACTTGCAGGATGCGGAACCATACCTGAGATCTGGGAAGCTTGTTTCACAAGAGCCTCTTGCCTTGATCGTCTTGCACCGGGCAGGTATGCAAGTTGAGACGACTCTTCCACATGCCGTGGTGTCCGTGCCCTGTAGGTGCATGATCGACAGTGAACCTGTGCTAGTCGATGCGGTCCTTGTCCAGGTTGGCACCGGACTGGTTGAGAAAGCCACTGGCATGGCGGTCCTTACGGTTGACACACCTGAGGTTGTTACCTTGAAGATTTTGGTCTACAAAGATGAACTCCTTGGTGACTGGGATGAGTTTTGTCAATCCCCCATCAAATGTTTGGTCGGTCTCATGCCCATGCTCAAAAGATGTCTCACTGACAACTGCCAATGTGATGGGTGGCACAACCATGAACAACTACCTATTCGAGATCCAATCATTGATGTTTGGAGAAGACAATATCTCCGCCAAGGTTTCAAGCCCTGTCCGCCAGCACAAGCCCACATTTTCTCTGTGTGCATCCGAATCCCGATTTGCCTGCTTGAGACCATGCTTAGTGCAAGTGGGGTTTCTGGCGCATACTCTGAGCCACGCACAGCCGACGGTAGGGATGTTTTGCCGGCCTACACAGTCATATGGACACCAAAGAATTCGCTTCAAGAGATGAAACATCTCATGCAGACCAACCCTGCGGTCATAGGACTGGCTAGGTTAGCTGACCGAAGAGGCCTCAGAGTTCACAGTGCCCAAGCCAAGACAATTCACCAAATTGTCAAACCTGACACCGTCTACTTGCCCAGTGGACCCAAAACTGTGTACACGGTAGGACCTTTTCCCTATGGGGTTGATCGACAAGCGGTAGGACGTATACTCCAAAAAGCAGGCTGGGAAAGCCGCCCCTTGCAGCCTGCGACACCATGCCCAGGTAAAGGAGTGATGTGGCTTGTCCAATCGGCGGAGGAACCCAACCAAACAATCATCCCGACCACCTCGGGAGAGATTATGATTGCCAAGGTGAAGCAAGAAGTAGTTTCACACACAATCCAGCCCATGACGCTTGGATCTGCGGCCACGCTGGCGTTGTGTGGCAAACCTGTTGATGGCAAACAAGCTGAGAACGACCCATGGGTTGTCAATGACCCGTGGAAGAAGTATCACCCCACTGGCCCGGCAACGGCTGGCCCGACTGAAGGGCTCCAACAAATTGAGGACCGAATCCAGACGGCTGTGTTAGCCAAGATGCAGCCACCCATGGAGCAAGACGACCTACCTGACAGGGTCCAAACCCTAGAGGGACAAGTACAGCACCTGCTGGCAAAGCAGCAAGGCTTGGAGAACCAATTCCAAGAACACAGCAGCCAACATACCCAGCAGATTACAGCCCTGCAGGGTCAGGTCACGGCACAAGCCCAGCAGCTTCATGGCCACCTTGAGAACCAGAATCAAACCATGCAGTCCCTCTTTGAGCAGCAGATGCAACAAATAAGAGGGCTGCTTGCCAAGCGGCCAAGAGACGAAGGGATGGAATGACAAAGAGGCCATGGCCTCGGCCTTGTGATTCTCATTTGTGTGTTGCTCACTTGCATTGGGACCCACATCCGAGGCCTGGGCCTTCTGTTTTGGGGATTTTGTTGGGGAGCGGCTTTGTGCCGCCTTACATCGGTTAGATGTAGATCAGTTTTGTGGCCTTATGTTGCCGCCATTGTGCTCCTTTGTCGCATTGGTGAAGCGGCTAATCCCGGCCCCAAACCTCATTCCAGTTTTGCCTTAGGTGCGTTCAACCCGTCAGGTCTTCCTGGCAAGGCACCTTACCTTGTTTCACACTTGGCCCATGGGGATGTTTGGGCCGTTTCTGAAACCCATTTGAGTGAACATGCGATGCACCAATTTCGTGCAAGTATGCAATTTGCCAGAGGTCCATATAGGTACATGATCGGAGGGCACCCAGTCCCTGCACAGAATGACCGCACATACCATGCCTCTTGGCGAGGGGTGGCCACAATTTCCAAACACCCTACGCGTGCGGTTCCCACCCATTTGCCTGCTGATGTGTTTGGCTCGTCCCGGGCCGTCCCGGGTGCTCATCACTACGACGCTCATCCAGGACACTTGGGTCACGGGTGGTGTGGTGTACGGTGAACCAGAAAGTAGCACCTACCCCCACCAAAAGCAGAACAATGAGAGACTCCTCCAGGAAGTGGTTAATCATGTTTGCTGTCTCACAAATGGCCCTCGCTATGTGGCAGGGGATTGGAATGTTTCACAGTATGAGCTTCCCTCTTTTGCACAACTGGAAGCGGCGGGATTCCTCGATCTGCAAGATGTGGCAAACCGCCTGTGGGGAGTCCCTATCCAACCTACATGTAAAGGGGTCACCCGAAAGGATTATTTCTACATTTCACCTGAGCTCCAACAGCTGCTGCACTCAGTTGAGGTCCACCAGGATGTTTTCCCCGACCATGCGGTTCTCCTTGGAGTGTTTCACCCGATGAAAGCCCTGGTCCCGAAGCAGATATGGTTTTCACCCACCCAGTTCCCCTGGCCTGTGAACTGGGAAATGGAGGAGCAATTTTGGAGCACCACATCAGGAACATGTGAGCAACGCTATGCAGCCCTTTGGCAACACATAGAAACAACTCCTGCCCGCTGCGTGCCTTTCCCTGTTCCCAAGAATGCTAGAGGAAGGGCGATGACCATGACCACTTCACCGGTGACTGCTGGTAAAGTGCCTGCCCCGCGCTTGGCCCGGAAAGGGGATGTCCAACCGCAGTTTGTCTGCTCATCCTTCCGCTATACGCAATGGTTGCGTCAAACGCGCCGACTCCAAGCGTATTGCAGGTATGCCAAAAGTAATGATGTTACCTCACAACATGCCTGTTTGGTGTGGGGTGCCATTGTTAGGGCCAAGGGTTTTTATCCTTCCTTTTCACATTGGTGGACAAATGCCCCCACACAGACCCATGGTGCACCGGAGCACATTCTCCGCTCATCCCACCGAAGTTGCAGGTGGCCACACACATCTATGACTCAATGTCACTGGCACTCCGACAGTTCGAACTTGAATTGCAGAAATCATCACGTTTGTATGCACGATTGAAGAGGGAAAGCAATCCAAATTCGATTTTTCATGATTTGAAGACACATTCTGATCAAGGAGTCCAGGTGTTGCTCCAGCCCAGACCTGCTAAGGTGATTGAGGTGCGCCAGGAGGAACTTGCCATTGTCTTGGACAAGCCGATGCAGTTTGATTTGACCGAGCCAGTTGTCTGCCAAGCCGTGAGACTGCCGGTGATCCATGCTGAACATGACTGTGTATGGGTAGAGAGCCTTGATGGAGTGAAAGTAGGGGACTCCATTACACAGACTTGTAAAATTGGAACAGATGCAGACTTGTTTCACACTTTTTTTGACGACATGGAAAGAGATGTGGGAACGCCACGCACATGTACCGCCACAACGATGGGCCCCAATCCTGGAGTTTGCAAGACAGCATTTGCCCAGATTGCAGCAGACTGTGCCGCCGATGACGGTGGAGACATTGCGCCACTGTCTGTCTCATAAGAAGGCAGCCACAGCAAGTGGCTTGGATGGAGTGTCATTGACCGACCTGCGTGCCATGCCCACTGCAGCCTTGAGCAATTTCGTTGACATCTTTACTCATGCTGAAGCAACAGGCCTTTGGCCAGCCCAGATTGTGTCAGGCCGTGTCGCCTGCATTGCTAAGATCCCTGAGCCTCAGAAAGCCCTGGACTTTCGTCCTATAACGGTGCTAGGTCTTTTGTATCGATGCTGGGGCACGTTCAATGCAAGACACATTATTCAGCAGCTGGATGAACATTTGCCCCCAGGTTTGTTTGGAAGTAGGCCACAGAGATTTGCAGGACAGGTTTGGTCCCAACTGTTATGGTCCATAGAGCAGGCGTATGAACAGGAAATCCACCTCAGTGGCATCATAGCAGACATCCAAAAAGCGTTCAATTATCTCCCTCGGCTGGTGGTGTTTGAGTGCTGTGCACTGGTAGGGATCCCATTTCATGTGCTGCGAGCATGGGCTGGTGCCCTGACTATCATGCCGCGTCGGTTCCAGATCAATGGTGCCCTCAGCCCCCCTGCGTACAGCAATTGTGGACTGCCTGAGGGTTGTGCCCTCTCATGTGTTGGAATGATGGTCATTGACATGGTTTACCATGCTTGGATGTCTCACTTTTTTCCGATGTGCCAGCCGTTGTCCTATGTGGATGATTGGCAAGTGTTGATGACAAACCCTGGTTTCCTTCAACCGGCCTTGCAATGCCTGGAGCGTTTCACACAGGCGATGGACCTGCTGCTTGACCGCCGTAAGACCCATACCTTGTCGGTCAGTGCTTATGGTCGCCAGATCCTTCGTGAACAAGGGTTGGATTTAGTTGCTAGTGATAGGAACCTGGGAGCCCATGTCCAATTCACCAGACTCCACACCAATAAAACCTTGGTTGCCCGGATCCAGGGTGCGCACCACCTCTGGCACAAATTGAAAATCTCTGCATGTAACTATGCTGCCAAAGTAAGGGCGGTACGAGTTGCAGCATGGCCGAAGTTTTTGCATGGTGTCCCTGCTACCACTTTGAGCCTGACTTTGTTTAAGTCCTTGAGATCAGGAGCCATGCGTGGTCTCCGTGCTGAGGCAGCGGGGGCCAACCCCATGGTGCAGTTAGGTCTCATTGAGAACTCTGCCACAGACCCGCATAACTGGGCCATCCAGCAAACCATGCGTCTCACCCGTGACTGTGGACAGAGAGAGCGTGTTGAGCAAGTGCTTGCCGAGATTGTGGCTGGTTCCGAAGCCTTTCCTGGTAACAGTATCACCCATACCCTTTGCACACGTTTGCAATTTCTTGGGTGGCACATTAATGACTCGGGTAGGCTTGTGGACCTGTTTGGTAGTTTTTCTTTGTTTGAGGTTTCCATGGCTGAGCTCCAATATCGACTGGACTTGCAATGGCCCAAAGTTGTCGCGGCCTCCACTGCCCACCGCAGATGTTTTGAAGGCCTTGGAACTTGTGATGTTGCTGACACGAGACGTTGGCTGCTATCTTTGGATGTGGCAGATCAAGCATTGTTTCGCAAAGTGCTCAATGGCACGCATTTTACCCAAGACGGCAAGATGTTTTGCCAGGAAGCCCCCACTGATGAATGTCTCTACTGTGCCTGCAGTGACAGCAGGTACCACCGGTTTTGGGAATGCACCAGGTTTGAGTCATTGCGTTCAGGTCTCACTCCAGATGTTCGACGTTGTATTTGTGATCTCCCCGAAGCCCTTAGCTGCTCTGGGTGGTCGATGCAACCAACTACTCTGTGCGAGTGGAATTGTTACTTTGCTGGTTTGCCTCACATGCCAATCCCCAGTGCCATGTTTCACGGTGACATATACATTTTCACTGATGGCAGTTGTTTTAACCAACAGTTGGTGAATCAACGGTTTGCTGGGTATGCAGTGGTGTTAGCCTCCTGCACAGGAGTTTATGATTGCCGAGGTAGTGAAGTTCTTGATGCGGGACATTTGCCCGGAATCTTGCAGAGCGCAATCCGAGCGGAAGTTTTTGCTGTGCTCAGGGCGCTGCAAATTGCGGAAGGGTCGGCTGAACGCCTTTTCCTCTAGTCCGATTGTGATAGTGTAATCAAGAAACTCAAACGTATCCAGTCAGGCCATGAGGTGCGAGTGAACAGTTCACACTCAGACTTGTGGTTGGAAATCCAAACACTTGTTCGTGCCCGGGCCAGTCCACTGTTTGTTGCGAAAGTTGCCGCGCACCAGCGCAATGATGAGGCAGGTGATCTTTACACTGACTGGTGTTTTCGGCATAATAGCATAGCTGATAGACAAGCAGTCCGAGCAAACCTTTCGCGCACTCCGGATTTCTGGCGACTGTGGCGACAGCATACTGCAGCATGTGAAGGAATTGCATGGTTTAACCGAGCGGTACAACAAGTGCAACTGGCTATCAGCAAGGAAGCCACACGGGAGGAAGCACCAATGAGTGGGGAGCCCCCCATGCAGCACTCTCCCGTCAAACCTATGGTTAGCTGGGCTGCACTGCCTACTCTGTTTCTGCCGGCCACTGCAATAAGATGGTATGGGGACAAGTTGGTTCGACATATTACCAGTTGGTTCTGGGCCGCCGTCCACAACAGCGACCATGAGGTTCAGTGGGTGTCTCACTTTCAACTGTACGTTGACTTTATGCTCACCACAGGCCTTCCGGGACCCATTAAGACAGACCGATGGTATGATGGTTCGGACCTCCCCTTCCTGAGCCTGCCGAACTTTGCATTCCGTCAACGAGCCAGATGGTTTACGAAAGTTTTCAAAGAAACCTTGCGGCATATGCATATAAAGCTATCCTTTGAATACACACGACCTGCCTCTCAAATGGTCCTCATGTTCACAGGTGTGATAGCATTGCCGTGGTGCCCACAGCGGCTACAATGGGTCGATGACTGGATGTTGCGTCATGGGGGCAACACATTCCGGCGCCAATCAGCTGCCATCGATGGGTTACCGTTTGGTGAGAAGTCGCCGTTGTTTCCACCGCATGTGATTACCTCTTTAGGTACATGAACCACCCAATACGGGTCACGTTCAGAACCAACGTGACGCGATGGTCAAAATGGGAGTCAAAATGGTGGTTTGGAACATTTGGATTATGGTGATTTAATAGGGTGATTAACCATCTGGTAATGAAATATTATATTAATTGCTGGTTGGTGGTTTGGAACATGAATTTTATGACTTTCCCATCATATTGGGAAGTTCATCATCCCAACTGACGAGGTCTCATATTTTTCAGAGGGGTAAGGGTCAACCACCAACCAGATATATATAGCCGATCACAATTTTGGAAGATGTGTTTGTTGCATATTTTGTGGGCCCCAAACGTTGTATGTCCTATTGCCCAACCAGGGACGACAGAGGGTTTTGAACTTTTGAACATTGCTCAATTGGCCCCGCAGTAAATTTGTTGTTGTATATAAACCTATTTTTTGTGGACTAAATTCAAGATATATTCAGTATAAATCCGATATATATATATATATATGTTTCTTATAGACCAACTTGTCTATTTTCATGGTCTGGACCGTATTTTATTGCTAACAAAAGGGATTTCTTGGTTGATGGTTTCGCAGATGCTTATTTTAGGGATGAGGTTCCCCCTTTGACTATTTATTCCAGATGGATTGAAACCACCAACCAGATCCAGCCAGTAGGATATTCAACATATTATATAAACTGATTTAAACTGATTGATTTAACACGTTGAAGGTGATTTAAACTGATTCAAACTGATTTAAACTGATTTAAACTGATTTGAACTGATTTGAACTGATTGATTTGAAGTGACTAGTATTTGTCAGATGGTTGAAACCACCAACCAGATGTGATCTAAAAATTCTTTGCAGTTGATTTGGATGGCCTTCCTGAAGAATGGTGCTATTGACCCTCTGGTAAACGTTTGCATAGCTATGGAACGTCACCAATAAAAATCATAGGTAGATCAACTATCAATACGCCATGTTCAATAGCCATGGCCATGTTAAATTACTAGAGGGTAGTAGTTTCAGCATGGAATTAGAGCCCACTATGAACCCTCGAGTTTTGGGTTGGTCCCTATATGTTCCTTGTTTTTTTATTTTTTTCTCCTGTGCTACTATAGACTAACATGTCAAAGATCTGGGGGAAACCCATGAACATCTTGAAATGGTCGATTTTACACATTTTTGGTAAATTATAACGACCTCACTGTTCTCTCTCACTGGGAATGATGGTTTGTAGGGGTGACTATCCCCAACTGACCGCAAGTTTCAGGTTAGTGAATTATTTTAGTTTACCCAGACATTTGGCAGTTTATCCCAGTTATGATTGGAACGGACTAGTCCTACCCTGCTCAAAAAATGGGATGAACTACCTCACTCGAGTGAACCACGAAGTATCTATCTTATAGCTGCATATCATAACCATCATTACATTACATAACATGGGATCATATATTTATATAGTTGCAATGTGGGGCCCCAAACGATAGCTAAGTTGGTGAACATAACCTCAATAACTTTGGTTTATGATACCTAGTCACTATAGTATTCATGAGGTTTATAAACCAACTTATAACTGAGGGGGCCCCACATTGTATTTATACTGATAGTTAATGGGGTTTATAATCCGACTATTAACATAATTTAATAGCATTTAACCGTCACTAAACATGATCAATCACGTGCATTATATATACCATTATATCCACCATTATATATACCATTATATCTACATAGCATGGGATCATACTGTGGATGGAGGAAATCCTGCACCAGTTAGTAGATGGTTTATCCCATTGTAATCCCATTATTTACAATGTTTTATAGTTCCCAAACAGTTACCAACTGGTGCAGGATTTCTTCCATCCACCGTATCTTTAATTAGTGGAATGTCAAGTCCTGATCCCACTCATATTCAGTTTTGAGTCACTCTCTTGCCCTTTCGCGCAAGGAAACTATGGACAGGCCTCCCAGGGACTTGTTTCTGTGTGAGTTCACTTAACAAAAACATGTAAACATTGTTATCTTTAGTCTATAGTAGGTATATCTATAGTTCCTGTAATGGTAGAATGGGTCTACTATAAAGTGGGCGATTTAACCGCCATAAATAAGGATGTCATGAGATTTAACAGAGATATAGGCCGGATAACTAATATTGGACACCCACCAGAAACCATAGTTTAGTAGGCGCATAGAATGGGGGTGTTGAAAAAAAGGGGGCATTGGATTATACAACAGTGCGCATTTTGGAAAATTGTTGCTTGATTTTTCTGCGGCACGGTCATATTGATATTAGCTTAAGACCCATGAAAGAAAACAACTCATGAGGGAAGATTCCCAAATGAAAACCAGTTGAGACATCAAAACCCACCCTACTGTTGATTGGTTACTATTGTCACTATAGTCAGCTGCAACACCTGGCATTAGGAATACTTCTTCTTGGCGCAGTTGGATTGCAGGCGATTTTTCAGTTGGTGCTCTCCCAGACATTGTAGTGAGAGAGGGGTTCCAAAGGTGGTTTTCAGAACGTTGTGTGGCTTTGAAGCTGCCATTCCGAACTTTTACATGGACAATAATACGCATGATTAATCATAACTATGATTATACATGATTATACTATGATATGCATCTACATATGTGAATATAGAAAGGTATGGAAAATGCATCATCACGACACTCAAATTCCCAACAAACCTCCCGTTTTTCCGCCGCGGCTTGCTGCTGTCGCCGCAGAAGCAGCCTCATTCGCCTGAACAGAAACAATCGAAGAAGAAGGACAAACCTACAGATCCTACAGGGGCCCCTTGGGCCCCCCCCAGTTATGTGAATGTTGGTTAACCAAAAAAACATTAACTATATATATATAGTATTATATAGTTATAGGCTAAAGGTATCATAAACCATAGTTATTGAAGTTATGTGGCCCCAACTTTGCTCCAGCTGGCTCCACATTGTATGAATGGAATATAGTTCTGCTATGTTCTGCTGGGAACACCGATTGGAGGTTAATTTGAAGCACAGCTGTGGTTTAACCATCAGCAATGGTGAGCTGGCCAGAAGTGGATCGATGAATATTTGGGATGTCATGGGATTTACATGTATAATATGTATATATATAATATACCATAATACTATATGATATTATATAATCAATATTATGATATTATATAATCAATATTATGATATTATATACAGTAATCAATATTATGTATTGCTATACCTCACATCACTGCGTCACCAAGTAAATGAAGGGTTTTTGGATTTGGGTAACTATTCCAACAGGACTAAAGACTTCAGGTCGGTGAATTCTTATGATTTAGTAAGATTTCTCATGATTTGACATCCGAGTGATAAAAAATGTGCGTGTTGTTTTCAGCAATCCATCGTTTTCTGGAGGATAAGATTGACTCCTCATATCACTGGGAATTCCAGGATCCTAAATTGGAGGTACTGTACCATATAAGGCCATATTTTGGGGGTATATCTCCTTACATAGCCCTCAAAAAAAGGCCTTATATATGGTAGGTACCTCCATTGTCATAGCCAAATTCTTGAGCTATCCAGGTGAGTTCCTTAGGAAATCATCCAGGAATAGGCTGATGATGGTGAAGATGTCTATGAGGTGGGGCCTTGAAATGGCCCTGTTATGTTACCCTCTGGTTATGACTAACATAGCCATGGTATATATAGATGGCCCATAAAAATAGATGGTTTACCTATTAAAAATGGGTGGATCTTTCCATGGCTATGTTAAATAACCAGATATTATGTTTGTATAATTGTTGATTCATAAAGCCTTTTTGACTAGCTCGATGTATCTACCACAAATCTTGGTATTCCCCTAGTTGTCTATCTAGGGGAGCCACATTTTAAACCAATGTACTGTATCCTTGGGAAGCCCCTTCTTGCATCACGTTTCTTCAGATCTATTTATTCACAGTACTTTGTCTGAAATAGGGTATATGGTATCCCCAAATTTCATGGTTTATCATCACATACATTCATATATATATATATATATGGAATGATATAACATATAAATCTTCCATATATAAATATATATATATATGTTTATTCTCAATATACATATTGATTGATTGATTGATTGATTGATTGATTGATTGATTGATTTGTGTATTTCTTTGGCGGTATACCCCATTTATAGATGTCCCAAATTTCCAATTTGGTGGATTCCTGCAGCTTCGGTGGACGTATCTGCTGGGTAAACCTTGGTTGAGTAGGTTTAGTGGGTTGTATGTTACTGGAAGGAGCAATGTACCAACAAACCAGAATAAAACATGGACATTTTGCTGGGTGTCATGTTTGTTCCCTGTGTGTATTCAATCTCTTCATGTTGCGAGCTCCCATGTTTGCTTGATTTTGATTGCGGGCTGGGATCGATACCCAACGAACTTGCAATAGACTAGACCATCCGGCTGGGCATGTTCGTGATAGTGGGTGGCTGCAGGACAAGAAAGAAGAAAAGAAAGAGAAGAAGGACATAGCTTCCCACATCCCCAATTATCCTTCGATAGTCAACATGCAGATGATTTTCCCAGAAAATCAAGATTTCTCAGCCATGGTAGATTACTGGGAGAGGCACCCTCGGAGAAGAGCGGTGTACTCTAAAGCCCATTGGCAGGCTCTATTGTCGGTTGGAGCCCTGCCCTACTGAATCTTTCAGCGAGTTGTGATGTGATCACAGATGATCCAACCGAAGCTATTTCTGGGTGTGGTAATGTGAGGTAAACATAGAAAACATGTGGTTTTTACCCATGGTCAAAAAAACCTGTACTATCCTGTACTACAAATATCTACAAATTACCCTCTGATTATTTAACATAGCCATGGAAAATGGCCCATAGAAATAGATGGTTTACCTACTACAAATTGGTGGATCTTTCCATGGCTATGTTAAATAACCAGATGGTATGTTGTGTTTTTTCCACATTAACCAAGGTTTACAACATACTAACATGGTATGAAAATGTTCTCCAAAAAATACCTGGGTTAAACCGATGGTTTTCCACATCTTTGGGGGCACATCATGCCTTTCTTTTGGGCCTATAGCACTTATGACACATAGATATCTAGCATAAATATCATTAGATATCCATCATAAACCATAGTTATCTATCAGAAACCATAGACATAATTATCAGTATCTATCATAATTATCTATCATACGCCATTTCACTGTAGACATAATTATCTATCATAAACCTTTGTTGGCCTAGTTAACTAACAGGTCCCCACATTGTGATTTACGTGGGAAAACACATCTATATCTTTAAGAATATTTAAGTGGAATATGTGAAGTTTGTTTTTTTTTACTATATGGTTATTGTAACTGGATTTAAGAACTAAGTGGGATTAGTTCTATATACTGTATACTGGTTTATCAAAGATGTAGTTTGCCAAATGGATTTATTGTGATTACATGTTTCAGAAATAGTTACCATCTGGTTATTTAACATAGCCATGGAAAATCCTTTCTACATGGAGGTTTTAATGGGAAAATCATTTATAAATGTGCTATTTTCCATGGCTATGTTAGTCATAACCAGAGGGTAATGGTGTTTCTAAGCCAACTTAGGATGACATAAAATGATCCATAAAATTGTTAGCAATAACCCTTTGGATAAAATTGCTGGGTGAAAACGACATTCATAAATTACAGTTATTTATTAGTTATAACTGGTTATAAATGGGATTATACAATCTATAAATGGGGTTTTGTTAGTACTTATAACTGGTATTTCGGGCCATAACTGTAGTGAAACATGTCATGAAACCCATCCAAGTGTAGATTCATCCACGATGATAAGAACTTTCTCAGATGATCTCATCTCTAGAGTCTCTAGAGTTCCACTTTTAAAAGGGGTGGAGCAACCCCGAAATCATCACATGCTATCGAATCACCACTTCACTGGCTCACAGCCAATAATGTAGGTTTATACAATTTCAATAGTTACAAGAGTGATTAGAGCAAAGGGCACCATTCCCGGAATTGCTTATTTGATTTTATCTAACTTATTTCTCGTCCTTGCCCGGAACGGCTTATTCGCTGTGAATGGTCCAGAACACAGTATATTATGATATTATTTGTTCATGTTTCATATTAACCATATATATATATATAACTAACATGATATACCAATGGCAAGCGCCCGACAACCCGTTCAACCCGCCGACGATTTCAGCTGATTTCAAGAGGCTCTGAGGAAGTCTCAGGAACGTTTAGTGAAACTACACAAGAAATGGCGAACAGAAATTCTTCAACAAGCACCCTTTTTTGTTCATGAATCGAATTACCATCTGGTTATTTAACATAGCCATGGAAAATCACCATTTTTAATAGGGGGTAAATAATTTTTGAGTCTTTGAAAGGTATTTCCCACATGGCAGCTCGATGTATTGAAACATGAAACGATGATAGCAATGTGACGCGTCGTGAACTTCGCTGCAACATTCCCACCGTTGCCCGCGGCCGTTGCCCGGTGGTGGTTTGGGGTTTCTCATGGATCCCATCCAGGCGGCGTGTCGCGGGGTAGCGGTTCCGGTGAGGGATCTGCTGAGTTTGGGGATTTGTTTGGGGGTTTCATGGGTTTTCATGGGGATTTCATGTGACATTTGATGGTTGAATATCTGTGGGATTCTAAGCAATAGAACTTGGGAATCCAAGCCTTGCCGACTTGCCGATTCTGGCTGGAAGACATGGAGGTTTTCAACCGTGGGAAAAACAAGGGTTTCAATTCCTGGACTCAACAAGGGTGAGGAAAAAAAGGTGGATAATGTGGTAGAACCAGGATTAAGCCTCAACATATGGGTAAACGTTGGGTAAATGGTTCTTTAAGCCTCAACAAATGGTGGTTAGTTGTTGATGGATTTTTTTTATCCCTACTAACCAGCAATTTATGGCAGTCTTTAAGCATCAACAAATGATCTGGATAAAAAAAAACACGTATTCAATGCGACCTCACCACAAATGATGGTTAGTAGGGATAATTGTCCAATATGGCCGAATTTTCAGGTCAGTGAAATATGATCGATTTACCCGGAATGATGATAGTCCATTGGAATTGGGTGTCCCCCTTTCTTAGTCAAACCCAAGATATAGCTGGGGAGATCTTCACTGAAGGGTAAACCAAATTGTAAACTGTAAATAGCCATGGGGTTTGTTTTTCCACCAGATACTTGGAGTTATCTATAAATTCCTTACATAAATTATGTTCATGTCTTTCTTCTGTTTCTGGAATTTTCATAACAACCTGCGCTGCCGTCTTTCTTGCATAAGAAAGGCATGGAAGCTCCAGCAAGCTCGTTTGGGCAACAAGGAGAAACTCGGGGTGAAAAACACAAACGCAAGATTGAAGCATCAAGAATGATGATGCGCTAGATTTTTAACCACTCCATAATCATTGAATGGTTTAATGGATGGTTAATAATGGATGGTTAAAATTATGGATGGAGTGGAAAATATGATTATGTTTAATTTAATCTAGATCACATAATCATTTAATGAATCATGAACAAATATTGGTTATGTTTGGTTTATCCAAATTATGATGGTATGATTAAACCTCCGATTATCCAATTATATATCCGGAAAGATTTAAGCAGGATAAACATTTTGGAGTGGATTTATGGCACGCAAATTGGTTTACAGCTAACGCAACTTAATTGTCTTTTTCAATGGATAGGATCTACTCAAGTATTAAAACCATTTAATTAAAACCCATAGAACATGATGAACATGTATGAAATTGGTGTTTTACCCAAACATAGCGGTGATTTTACTATAGAACATGGGTTTTCAACAAATAGAAAATTGTATTCCAGTTAACCGATTTGAATTTTGATTTATGAGTATAATTGTTCAAAGGGATTGTTTTGGATGATTTTCAACATGTTCATTTGGTTTGTTGAAATCAAGTTTTGCCCAAACAACATGATTCAATCGCAGCTAAATCGACTTTGACCAAAACCACGTCTGAAATAGTGAGAATGTCACCCCCAAAAATGGCGGACCAAACCCACCCATCCATTTCATGGGTTTAAACTGTGCTGGGAAATGCAGTCAAGACACATCGTGATCGCACATCAACATGCTTCTCCTTCATGATTGAAATGTGAAGCCTGAAGAATTGTAGTCTTTTAGTGAGTCAACGTGGTTGTCAATAAGAGATGATCAATGCATCAGTCCAGAGTATATTGATTGAACGCGACGACTTTCCATGACCCCCCTGCTTTCCATCGGTGTGTTCACCGGGCGGTTTGTGGCTTACTCTCCATAGAAAACTCAGCTACAAAAGGTGGCCAATTGATGATTTTCCACGGCAACAAATGGTGATTGTCCTTGGCGAAGTCTCCAGTAGATGAGGTAACCATCAAAAAAGATGGCAATTTCGCTTGGATGTTTAGTTCTTCCAATCCTGAAGGCACCCGGGTGAAGTACCTTTATTATTACAGATCAACCACCATTCAGCAGGAGAAAACGTTAGAAGAGTTGCTTGGAGGGAAAAAGGTTGGGCCGGGGCCGAGACTGACGCGCTTTCTGTTTACTTTGAAGTGCGTTTTGGGTAATTTGTGTATCTATTCATGGTAGGCTCATGAACATGCCCAATCGCATTATTTGCGGAGGGCCACAGCGTCCATATACATGGAGCCCACCAACCGGGGAATGCCATGAATTTACGAGACGGTTTATGACGTCTCGCCTCGGTGAAGAGCGTGTTAGCCTAGCATTGCAGCACTACCCACGAGAGCCGTTAACGTGGGAATCTGCGCTTGTGAAGGCTGAGGTAGGCTTTGAAGCCTTTCCGGACCTTCCCTGTCCGATGGTGAATTTGAATGAGCTTACATCTATCGGCTTGGCAATGACTCATGATTTGACTGAGACTCATTACAGTCAGTCCTCTTTGGACGAAGTTCTTGCCTCGAAAGCTGAAGGTGGACTATCCACTGATAAGTCAGTGGGTTATTGGATGCGCTTTATGTCCTCGAAGAGGTTAAAGCAGCGTATCCTAGCTCATGGTCCGCTCAAGAAATCGAATGCAGTATTCATTGATTGGCTTCGCCACTCTTTGGAAGAGTACGTGGTGTGGCTAAGGACCGCAAATCTGCCTAGATTGCAGCTGGTTGAAGAGTTGTACGCCGATGAGCGCAACTGGAGTTTCTATGCATGCCGAGCTGCTTGTGGCAGTAGTCTGAGATTGGTGACAGTCGTGAGTCCGATTGTCAACGCCTTGGTGGCGATTCCTTTACTTGACTATCTCAGGCAGAAACGGCAATCAAGAAGTATGAGTTATCTCGGATGTGATCCGTTTATCCAAGGACCCACGATGTGGGCAGAATTATTTGGTTGCGACTACATTTCAGAAGACGACAGAAGTGCAATGGACATGAACCAAAGATTTGACTCTGTCATTGGTACCCCATTTTTACGGGGAATTTGTTTCTTCCTCCCCGGGGATTTCTTTTCCCGGCTAAGTTCCCGCAGACTGGTGTGCCAGGGAAGCAAGGCAGCAAGCAAGCAAGCAAGCAAGCGAGCGAGCAAGCAAGAAAGCAAGCAAGCAAGCAAGCCAGCCAGCCAGCCAGCCAGCAAGCCAGCAAGGCAGTCAGGCAGCCAGCCAGCCAGCAAGCAAGCAAGGGAGCCAGCGAGCAAACCAAGCAAGCAAGCAAGCCAGCCAGCAAGCAAGCAAGCAAGCCAGCCAGGCAGCCAGCCAGGCACTGTACCACTGTACCACTGAAAATATTGCTGCCGTGGCGGGTCGGTGGTGATGGTTGGTGCTAGGATACCCAGAATGGGAAAGTGATATGTCTAGATGGCAGTGATCATAATAAATGTTATACCATGGAAAAAGAAACAAAGTGATGTGAAATTCAAAAGTTGCAAAGAAAAACCTGCAACTTTGGCGATCCAGGTATGTATATATACATATATGTACAGGTTGTCATTTAGATACATATTTTGTGGCTATTTATTTGCGCATATCCAACAACAACAACAGCAACAACAATCATAACAACAATAAACACAAAAACAACAACGATCACAAGAGCAAGCATCACAACAACAACCATCACAACAACAACAACAGCAGCAACAACAACAACAGCAACAACAACAACAACAACAACCACAACCATCACAACAACAACCATCGCAACAGCAAACATCACAAGAACAAACATCGCAACAACAAACATAACAAAGAAACAACAACAAACATTACAACAACAGACAGCACAACAACAAACATAACAGCAACAAACGTAACAACAAATACAACAACATAGAAGGTTCCAGCTCCCAAATTCTACAAATAGCACGCAAACTGAAAGGTTCCTGCGCGCAAATGCGGCAAACAGCATGATAAATAGAAGGTTCCTGCGCCCAAATGCGGCAAATAGCATGCAAAATAAAAAGTTCCAGCGCCATAATGCTGCAAATAGCATGCAGCATGGAAGGTTCAGCTCCAAAATGCTGCAAATAACACGCAAAATGAAAGGTTCCAGCTCCAAAATGCTGCAAATAGCATGCAGCATGGAAGGGAAGTGGCAGGATAGATGCAGGGGACGGAAAACAGAGCAGATCAGGAGAAAAAAATCCCCGGGGCAGGAGAAAAAAAAATCCCGGCAAGATTCGGCACCTTGTTACAATTGCAACCGCTTGGTGGATCTACAGCGAGAGCGAGATTCAGGGCGCATAACTGCATCCAACAAAACATAGCACACCAAATTTGGAATCATTTGCCATCATGCGAATTCAAAAGTCAATCCATGCATTTTGATGTTGATCCGTTGCCCTTTTATTGTTTGAGTCAAACTTCTCAAGTTCAGTTGGCTTTCAATACGTATGACTGACCCGAATAATAAAGCCTATAAAAAAAATATCAGGTTTTGATGGGTCAATGTCAAATCCAGATGTTTGAAGCTTATCTAATATACATATAAGCTGGCTATAAACCAACTTACCTATCACAATTCACCATAAATAACTTTGTGTTCGTTAAATGTCCTATTATATATATATATATATCTATTTGTTTGTGAATATCGATCTATTCTATTCCTTGATCTGAAGTGGCCAAGCAACAGCATATAAAAATTGTGTGAACGCTAGCATAAGTTTATCAGCCATATATAATCTAGATGTATTGCGTATTAGGCTTGCTGGTTGGTGGTTTCAAACATGAATTTTATTGTCCATGTCATACATGGGATGTCATCCTTCCCATTGACGAACTCATATTTTTCAAGATGGTTATTGCACATTGCACCACCAACCAGATCAGCTATAAATCCCAATCAAGCACCATTTTTCATGGTTTCCCTTTGGTTTTCCTATGATTTCCCCATTTTTCATTTATTATTAACCATCATTATCCATATTGTAACCACATATTACCCTCTGGTAAACTAACATAACTATGGAAAACCACATTTTTTATGGGTAAATCAACTATAAATGGTCCATTTTCAATGGCTTTTTGTATGTTTACCAGAGGGTAACCATTATTAACCATCATTAATCACCATTAAGCACCATTAATCATCATTTTTTTGGTTAACCATCATTAACCATATAATAACCACATATTAACCATTATTAACCATCATTAACCATCATCAACCATCATTAATCACCATTAAGCACCATATTTCACCATACTTCACCCTTAATATCCTTATTAAATCACCATTAATATCCCTATTAAATCACCAATAGCTATGTTAGTTTACCAGAGGATAACCATTATTATCAGTATATATTCCAATCATATTCCGCCAGCCAGTCACCATTGTTGGAACCCCGGGGGGATCATCAATGGATTTGAGGAGAAGCCTGGCAGCACATTTCTTACCTGCCATAGGTTTTTCCATAGGAAAGATATGGAAAAACCATAGGAAATCATAGGAAAAACATGGCTATTAGTCATAACTGGTGATTTTTTATGAGTGATTATTAGTGGTTAGTAATGGTTTTCATAGTGGCTAATAGTGATTAATGATGGTTATAAGTGGTTATTTCTATGGGATTATACATTTCATAAATAGGGTACCGGGTTTTGTTAGTGCTTATAACTTGTATTTCGGGCCAGAACTGTATACCATTTTTTTGACCATGGCACGTATGTTTTTTTTAAAATATTATTTCTCAGTCACATGTACTGTAGAACTATGTAAAACTATGACATTGCTAGATATCGTCAATCGTGCTGGGTGAATATCCACTTCCCCATATTTTTGCTATTTTTCTAGCGGGTGGTTTCAATTTATTTCTTTCCCCTCTGGGTACAGAGGTTTTGATTCATCCCCATCTAGCATTTCTAGCAATTCTTAATAAACAAAATTCTAGGCGTCTCCAGTCAATCATATGTTTAACCCAAGGTCCATCATGATTTTCCTCAATAGCTAAGCCATATGTATTATGTCTACCTTTGGTAGGAGGGAACTTACGAGCTAGGGATATCCATATTCCTATAAAATGGGGAGCCAAGGAGTTGCTTGGAGTTTACCAACCACATGATAGTACAACCAATGGGGATTCTACCTAGTGATATGCGGGATATACGGTTATCCCAAAACATTATGAAACCCACTATTAACATCAACTATTAACATCATTTAACCGTCACTAAGCATGATCTACGACTAGTGAATAAATTAGTGAATAAGCATTATCATTTTATATACCCGTTATTAGATCATTCACATCATATGCATTGCATCTAGTGAATCAATATACAAACAAATGAATATTAACTAAAATTATTCACGAAATTATTCATCTATATGCTAATATGAATATTCATCAGTGTTTAGATAGTCATATTAAGATATTAAATGAATATTAGCACATGTTATTCCCAAATGTTAGCATATATTAATATCTAACCAACAAAAAAACTATCTTAAATCAACATTTTCGCTATCCCTATGAAATCATTAAAGTCCCTATTTTTCCTATTGTTTCCTATATTTTTGTTGATGAAGTCACCATTTTTCCTACAGCCAAGGCTTCGGGTGTCTCAACCTCGATGGACCGTTGCCTTCGACATGTCCGACGAGGTGTTCGATGTCGCTATTTTTTTCGGTTTAGCAAGGAACAAAAACATTGGCTACCTTCTGGTAAACTAACATAACTATGGAAAATCACCATTTTTTAATGGGAAAATCCACTATAAATGGTCATTTTCAATAGCTACGTTAAATTATTACCAATTTATGTAAATTGGTGCCAATTAGCTAATTATAACTAATTTATGTAAATAGTTATGTATAATGTTATAATTAGTCAACAAGTATTAATAACTATTTACGTTATAATTTATAGTCCATTGGCTAATTATAACTATAGCTAGTCCAAATTGTCATAGTAATTCTAGTCCATTCCCAGCCGGCTAATTATAGTCCAATGGTAATTTGCTGGGAATGGCTAGCTATACTTATAGTGCAGTTAATGGAAAATGGAAGAAAATGGAAACTAACGTATATATATATATGGAACATGGAAATTCATACCCAGTTAAAGCAACGTAGCTATGGAAAATGGAAGAAAATGGACCTATAGATTTACTTGGATTTACCCCTGAAGAAGACGCCAAGAACTATGCCTTGGTCGAGAGCCTGTTACAGCATGATGACTTGGAGCTTTAAAGCTATGCCCACCAGCCGATTCAAAGGATTGGCGACGAAACCGAGAACCGAGTTGACCAGATGTTACCAAAGAAGGGAGCTGGATCATCCGGTGCTGAACAGATAGGTCTCCACAGTGGATAGGCAAGGCCAGGCAGATGTCAGCATGGTTCAATTTGACCTAGAGCCGTATCTTTTTTAGGGCAGACTGGCTGGTGAAGAGTCTTGACTTAGAAATCTTAGAATAATGTGAACAGAGAAATTTGACGTGAGAAACTTGAGGCCCAGGGGGTGGTGAACGAAAGCTAAAGGTCACATGAATGTGGAAAGAGGCAAGAGAGTTACAGAGGGACGGCCCTGGCAGGATTTGAGCCCATGACCTGATGGAGAATTCTGTACCGTTAGTTGAGTTTGTATACAGATTGTTACCTGACATATCCTGGCGTGCCACACAGCCTCGTGCCGGGGCATCATTCCTCCAAAATGGGAGCTATTTCAAGGCCCTGCTCCCAGATATAACAGCAACCCACGTGGGTCTGCCAACCAATTCTAGTCACCCTGCAGACAGAATATATGGACATTTTTAAACATCATCTGATTGGTTGTTTGGAACATGAATTTCATTTCCATTTCATAAAAAAGGGATGTCATCCTTCCCATGGACGAACTCCATCATTTTTCAGAGGGGTAGGGCGAAAAACCATGAAAAACCACTGACCAGTCATCATTCGATCTATTCAGGATGACTATGGCACTATGGGCAGTTGGGAAGTTCATACATCGATAGATAGGTTGTGAACTGCCCAGTCGGCAGTTCACATACGGTGATCGCCACAGCAAAATTGATCGCTGAAAACCAGGAAATGAACATTTCTTACTGGTGCGTTTTACGTAGGGAGTGGATGGGTTGCTGGGGGTTGCTGGGATGATTATTGTGATGATTGATAGTTAACCAGTGGATCATTCCCGAAAATTCCCTGCTAAGCACCAGTAAGATTTTGACTTGGTTCATTGAATGCTACCTATCAATAAATCAACCAATCAAGGAACATGAAGGAACATAGCCAATCAATATAGCGTCTAAAGCCACAAGTGGTAGCTGTCAACTGACAATGCCATGGGTCATTTGCCCATCAGCTTCTCGACAGACATACACTGCTTTACGTGGATGTGCTTCCAATGCAGTTAGTAAGTGGTCTATCAACATGTAAGCCACATATATGGAGGTTTCCTGAAATTGGGGTACCCCCAAATCATCTATTATTAGTATGATTTTCCATGAAATAAACCATCCATTTGGGGCAACTCCATTTTCACAAAACCCCCATTTCCACTGCGGATATACTGTACCCAATATGGCTATTACCCAGATACTCGTACAAGGGATCACCTTCAAGTAGGAATTACAACGGCGAAAAAAAACTGAGGTTTGTTCACTCGAGAAAAAAAAAGACTGATAGATCTATGATTTCTGGTAGATCTATGGTTTCCGAAGTAGAGATTTAACTAAACCAATCTGATCTTGATCCAAGTTCATACTTTGTTGAATAGAAACAGCAAATATCCTCTGGATTCCTCTGGTAAACTAACATAACTTTGGAAAGTCACAATTTTTAATGGATAAATCAACTATAAATTTCTAATCACAAAATAGCCATGTTAGTTTACCAAAGGGTATCCCATTATTGGTGGCGCCCAACGAACCGGCTATCACAGGATCAAGACAGTTTCATCAACTTGGATGAGTGCGGCAAAGCTTTTAAGAGGCGATCTGTCGCATCTTTTTCCAGTGGGTTTCTCCATGGGCGTTGACAAGGCAAAAGAAATACAGTTGTGGCCATTTATTGGTGATTAATGGTGATTACTAGTGGTTAGTAATGGTTTTCATAGTGGCTAATAGTGATTAATGATGGTTATAACTGGTTATTTCTATGGGATAACAAACAATCTATAAATGGGGTGACCTGTTAGTACTACTCGTATTTCGGGCCATAAGTGTATTGAAGATTTATGATTTGACAAAATATAAACATTGTTGGAAAGTGGTTGGTAACTAGTAATTGGATTATATAGTTAAACTTTAAATTGGTATGGCAAGTTTCGGAAACCAGATTTTCGGAGTTTCCTTTGTTGGCATCACTGGTTTGGAGAGTTCAATCTTTGTTGGTCAAATCTCCACCGTTGCCCGTGACACAGCCTCCTTGGCCGCTGAAATCCTTGCTTCTAACAATTTAAATTGAAGGGGTTCTTGCATTTCCGGCTCTTGGGGATTTAATATAAAGAGTTCTGTGGTAAATTGGGTTGCTCTCACGGAGTCATACATGTGTGTGTGTGTGTGGAGTTGATTTGGATGTCTTGCGGATCCAGCCCTACCCTGCTTTACAGTATCACCAGCTTTGTACAGGTACTTTGCCAAAAGATTCGCATTCATTACTTGCTGGCTAAACACCGAACTGGGATACCTGCAGGTTCAACCTTGCAAATCTCGCAAAGCATGGAATATAAGACGACGAAATGATTTCTGTATTACAAATATTATAGATGACACACTTTACAAACATAGATACAATATCAGATACATCTACATATCTACCCTCTGGTTATCTGTCACATAGCCATGGAAGCCATGGCCCATAGAAATGGATGATTTTCCCATCTAGAAACCTCCATTTATTTCATGGCTTTTCCAGTTCGCTATGTTAAATAACCAGATGGTAATCCAGTTCGCTATGTTAAATAACCCATATGTTAAGTAACCAGCTAGAAACCTCCATATTTATAATGGGGCTTTTCCATAGCTAAATAACCAGATGGTACATTTCAAGGATCACCAGGCAGGATATGTCGTGCTGTCAGGATTCTTGGCTCGGGCTCTGAAATGCCCCACTACCGCTTGAAGGACGAAGTGGACGAACGTTTCGGGCCGTTTTTTGTTGCATCAAAATGGTACAGGGTGGGGCCCCCAGTCGATAGCTAAGTTGTTGATAATTTCAATACAGTAACTATGGTTCATGATACCTATAACTATAGTATTCATTGGGGTTATAAATCAACTTATAACTGAGGGGGCCCCACATTGTAGGTAAAGCATGTTTCCGGTTGATGTACATTGTGGTGAAGCTGTTTTTAAATGTGTCTGTTTCAACGTTATAAGCAAAATCCAAAGTGTGAACGCAGATCTCCGCAAAAGTTTTCTCATACGAGGCCTAGAAGGAGGGGGCAACAGGGACGATTCTCGGGGACACCAAAAAAGGTTGTAGTTTATGCCATAATATAATGTAACATAATACAATACAATATAATACAACATAATAATATATATATATATATATATACTATATAATATATATAATATACTATATAATATATATATATATATAAAATATATAATGTTAATAATATATATATATAATAATATATATATATATATAATATTAATATAACTATACACATATATAGTATGTAGAATATATACTATAAATAGACATGGTTCATAACTTATCTAAACATGGTTGTTAACCACTTGTGATCCGTGGGGTGATCCTCCAAGCAGTCGATCATCATGATGATCGTCCCCATTTTTTCCCAGTGAAATGATGTTAATGGCCATCATTTGGGGTATTATTTGTCTGTTAGAAATGTGTCTGTCATTGCTGTCACAGTTGACCGGCCAATTAGACAAGTCTGTCCGTGTTTTGAATATGGTTGCTGGTTTATTTCCACAACTACAATGTGGTACCCCCCAGTTATAAGTTGGTTTATAATATATCTACCATAAGTCCTAGTGAAATTGGAGTTATAAACGCACCAACTTAGCAATAACTTAGCTATCGAACTGGGGCACCACTGTGTATCATACCGTATCTAGGTGGGACAACCATCCGTGTATCAGTTATTTTGTGGTTCACCCAGGTACCAGAGGAGAACGCTTTGTCCAACACTAGGGTACCCATGTTTTGTTCACGGGTGTTGCAATTCTGTATCTGTTGTAAATATATGTTAATAGACAAAGATTATGGTTGATGATGTTGCCATTTATTTTGAGAAAAATCTGGCGTCTTTTGGTTTTGCAGTTTTTTTTTTTGGAGTAAGACTTCTGTCAGGTCGAAGATTGGGATCGGATCACCATTGGGATCACCGTGGCGTCGTGGCGTCGTGCGTTTTTGTCTCCCTTCATCTGGATGGACGTGATGTTGTTCGCAATCAAATGGACATGAAGAAGCATAAGAGCAATTGTTATGCGTTTATTCGTTTATGCGTTTTTTTGTTTTTGTTCAAGCATGGATACCCCATGCGAACAATGGTTTAAAGATGTTTAAAGTAACGTATTTTAAAGTCATGTTTTTTCCATGAAAGTTGCCATGAACAAATTGGGATATACCCCAAAAACCACAATTTGCAGACTCCGGTAAATTAGTTTGTTGCATGTATATATTCCTGGAAACCCCAGCAACCAGAAATCAATGGTAGTTTCCCCCAACATCCACCATTTGCAGATCAATTTTCCCAGGGGAAAGTCCTGGACTTGCTGAAGAGTTGATCCATGGATTACGAATTTAATGATATAATAACCCCGTTGAGCAAATCAAAGTATTGATGCCAACCAATGTTTATGAATATAATTATATTACTTTATTATTTATAATATATATATATACTTAATGTATGGTAATCTAACATGGCAATTGAAGTTTCATGAGTTTTCCTTATCCATGGACATTTTAATGGGAAAATAAACTATAAATAGTGGATTTTGCAGCCATGTTTGGTGACCAGAGGAGATCTTCGATGAGCTGGATGTCTTAGGCTGATGTTGGCCGTGGCTGCTGTGAAACATGAAACGTTTAACCATGAAACATCGGGATTGAAACAACAAACAAAATGATTCATGGTTAGCCAAAGGAATCTAATGGTTAGACGTTTCATGATTAAATTATATTAAATGGAATCTAACCCTTTAGCCAATTTAACCATGAAACATTGGAATCTAAGCCAAAGGGCTAGCCAAGAAACACATGGATTTTAATGGAAACTTAGCTGTTTTATGCTGTTTTGATGTGTTGTGTTGCCATCCCGTACAGTTTGACCCTGCAAATTACCCACTTTGAGGGGACAATTTGATATTTGGCAGGGGCTGCGTTTCAGTTGGGAGATCTCAACCAACAAATAATTGGAATTGAACCAACACCAAAAAATGGCGCCAAAGTACAACACATCGGGTTACGTGTGTTCAAATCATTGAACGTGGGGGGAACAGAACTGGAAATGACACTAGAAATTAAACGTTTTTTCTGTGGATGGTTAAGTGGGGTGCGAGTCAAAGACAGAACCAACAACCATACTTGGCAGATCTTCGAAGCGCTTCCCACTTTGGAATTGCTTTCGAATCATGATTCCAAGCCAGTTAGTTACATTACAAGTATAGCAGCGCCCAGAAGAAAATGTGACAGCTGGAAAATCCTGGAAATGATCCCCTGGTAAATTAACATAGACCCTGATTTTCTCACCAATTTTTCGTGGAAATGAATCTTCCAACCCCTATCTGCCAGGGTCGAACTGTTAATATACCAGAGGGTATGGGTACTAAGTCACCCCATTTATAGAATGTTTTTTATCCCAGTTATAAGGGTAAAAACATAATCGATACCATCCTTGGAATGGCACATAATGGCACTGGCGTCGACCTCTCTTGACCTTCCCATGATGGCACGTGAAATCCTGATGGATCTAACTTCAGGTGCTTCGTAGGGAAACATGGATAAAAATGGGATGATTGTTAGTAAATATTTATAGATATTACAACGATTTGATGCTTAAACTCCTATGTTTCATGGTGATTTCCAGATGTTGATGGTTATACCATGTTATAGTTACCCTCTGGTTATTTAACAGTTCGCCATGGAAAATCACCATGCTATTAATAGGTAAACCATCTATTTCTATGGGCCATCTATACCATGGCTATGTGACAAATAACCAGAGGGTAATATTTATAGATTATTCCCCCATGTGCCTACTAAGCACCAGGAAATTGGCCATTTGGACAAATGAAGAGAACATGTCAGGATTTCGTTCACATCAGTATCCCAATATATTAAATATATCATAATATATCCAAGTCTACATACGATGTTCTTATAAAATTACCCCGAAAAACATGCACATTTTTTCAAGTGTGCCACCTTCTCATCAAAAGTACCCACTTGTCAGGGAAGCAGAAGTTGGATTTCCGACAGTTTCACAAATTGGTTCCGCTCTCAGTATGGTTCCGTTGGTCCCTACGGGCAAATTTCCCATGTTGACTTGGGGTGATGTCAGATTCAGAGCACTGTGAAGGTATTTGGGCGAGTCTGAGAATGGTTCAGTAGCTTCTGAATGGCCATCTACCCTCTGGTAAACTAACATAGCTATTGAAAATGGCCATTTATAGTGGATTTTCCCATTAAAAAATTGTGATTTTCCATAGCTATGTTAAATTTCCAGAGGGTAATGGGGCAGATGATGAGTAACCATCAAACTTTTTCGGTGCACTGTTTTCAGACCAACCCATATAATCAAAAGCTGCCCATATAGGACATGATGCTCGAGGGTTTTTGAAGGTAGAACTTCTTTGGGTTACTAGATGTTACTAGGTTTTTTTCTTAAGAAATTGCAAAGTATAGAATCCTTTCCTTCGGATGCCTTATTTGGGGCATTTAGTAGCGAGGTTACTAAAGATTGATTTTAGCCACTATTGTGGGTTGATTTAGATTGTTTGAATGGGCCGCTTAAAGGTTTGCAAGAATGACGTCTAGTAGACATCATCGCCAGATACTGGTACAGCTGACCTGCAGGTGTTACAGGAGTTTATTGCCCAGGGGTGAACGACTGGTAGATTTCTAATCTGTTTTCAATGGCTGCCATGGCTTTTCATCCAATGGCGTGATGATTCCAAGTGACCACATAACTTCTGGGTGGCTAAGAAACAATAAGAAACACCAAATAGATGATGACCTAGATACCTAGCAACTGGGTGCTTTGGGAAGATGTGAATTTCCGTGCTTTGCCAATCCATGCCGTGGAGTTCCGGCTGGTGAATGTGTTCGACACGGACGTCCGTGACCCGGAGACGCAGAAGCAGTTGGAGAGAAAGCTCTACATCGACGGAAGGGATCTATGATTGTAGTGGTAGAGTGGGATTTTGATGAAACATGGATTTATTATGATTTATTGGGATTCTGATTTGGTTTCACTGGAATACTACAAAATCATATTACGCATTGTTACCCCATTCAACTATTAGATATTTCCACCACAGATCGATCCGTTAGTCAACTGATAAACCAACATAACCAACTGACCTATCGTTCGTGGACCCCTTCCCGCATGTTGTACAAGCATGTTTAAGTGTACTTTGGCAGATATGTGTATTAATTAAGCTGTATATTCCCTATTATATGTGTATATTAAGCTGATCATCAAAAACAAAGCACATCAAAACCAGTACCCTCTGGTGAACTAACATAGCAATGGAAAATCACCATTTTTAATGGGAAAATCCACTATAAATGGCCATTTTCAATTGCTATGTTAGTTCACCAGAGGGTATTCCCTGTCGTTCCACGTCGTCCTCACTGTCCCTCTTGGGACAGCGTCTTGGGACAGCCCAGGCGGCCGAGCTGTCGCAGTATATGGCGGACAACCCAAAGTGGGCCAAAGAAGAGGCTACCGGCGTGGCAGGTTGACATTTACCCGGCCTGGTAAACGTTTACATAACGAACTGGAAAATCACTATGTTTAAGGTGTAAATGCACTATAAATGGTTTATGACATTGTTTTACATTTGTGGGATTTTCTGGGTCTAACCCATGACGGATCCATGGTGCTGCTATATATGCTAACATGACTGGGGTATATTTATGGTAAATGTTACCATATATAGCATACATGGATCCGATGGGTAATGTAACTTACTGTAGATATCTATGATAAACCACCAACCATTTTATAATCTGGTTGGTGGTTTGGAACATGTATGTTTTTCCATAATATATGGGAATGATAATCAAAACTTACTCATATTTTTTCAGAGGGGTTGAAACCACCAACCAGATAATGTTAAATAATTGATTAAGTCACATATTGAATTTCTGATCTTGCGACTGTAAATGTGTAATGTTAAGTACTTAATAATGTTGTTTGTCATTTGGCTAATATTACCTGTTAATCAAACGATGGAAATTTATAATGCTAAATACTTGACATCTAAACTTGATGGCCAATATTTAAGATAATTTTACCATCAAGTTCATGTTTTGTAATCATTTCATACGCATTTTTCATTATCAATTTGATGATTATCTCAATTGATTTGGCTTAAAATACATGTTCAAAAACCATGTTGTTGAAATTTATAATCATGTTAATAATCAACTTACAACAACAGTTTGATGTTTAGATATAAACTGACCATATTTCATAATCCCATGCTATCAGTTTTAATAGGTTAGTTAACCATCAAATTACTTGGGATAAGTCAAATAATAACTAGATATAACTAGCATTTATACGTGACATACATATGTTCATCATGCGAGCCATTTGAAATACCCCAGAGGGAATCAAACATGGCAACTGAAAGCCACCGAACTAAATGCATAATTTCAATGGGACAATCAACTACTAAATCCATAATATGATCTTTTAACCATATATATATATATATTGTTTTATTGTAAATATATATTTATCTGGGTAAATTTGATCACGACCGAGCCCTGTTCTCCCGAACCCTGAAATCATGGTGAATGTATAGGGGAATCATCCCCTTTTATGGCCGAGCTATTCAGGTTAGTGAAATATGATAATTTACCCAGATAATTTTAATGGGACTATCAACTATACATGGTGGATGTTCCAGCAAGCCATGCTTGAGAACCGGAGGGTACTTCTGTTGATGGGTTGATATACTTTAATGCGTGTGATACTTTAATGTGTGTTTTTTTAGTTATTTATTAGTAAAATTTATTGCCTGGTTTAGCCTTTAAAGTAAACAAACACTTTGCGAACTGGAAAATGGTCATAGAAATACTTGATTTACCATGATTTACCCATTAATAGCATGGTAATTTTCCAGTTCGTTATGTTAGTTCGTTTACCAGAGGGTAATGATACATCATAAATCACCATTAAATCAGCATTAAATCACCATTAAATCACAATTTTCCAATATTTTCCATTAGAGGCTTGTGGGATTGCCATGGGCAAAACCATGGAGATACCATGGGATAGCCCTGGCCATCTCAGGAACTGTTTGATTGGAGGTACCTACCATATATGGTGGGCCTAAATTTCAGGGAATATCCACAAAATATGATCTGAAAAATATGGTACGTTTACGTACCTCCATTGAATCGGCTCCTTTTTGATTTCCATTGATCCTCCAAGCAAAAAAAACCATCAACATCCATCAACATATTTGGTATAGTTGGCAAATGTTGGCAGTGTATTCCGAAATAATTCCCAAATGAGGTGGTCAATGAAGCAGGCTACCTTGAAATCCAATGGTCAATCACCAAGCTGAGACCCCAAACAGTGTCGGGGCTAGGAAGGCAATTTTTTGGAGATGCAAGCAACAGTAGCTACGGAACAGAAACAAATCAAACAAACAAATCAGACATGATCGGTTGGTGGTTTGGAACATTTGGATTATTTTTCCATCATATTGGGAATAATCATCATCCCAACTGACTTTCATATTTTTCAGAGGGGTACCCTCTGGTAAACTAACATAACCATGGAAAATCACAATGTTTAATGGGTAAATCAACTATGAATTGCCATTTTCAATAGCGAACTGTTAGTTTACCAGGGGGTAGGTTGAAACCACCAACCAGTGATTGTTCAACTCTTGGTTCGGCGATTCGCAGGGTCAAACTGACGGAAACACCAACTGACGGTGTTTCTAGCGATTCTCCACCGAAACATGAGAGATATCCGCCATATCCGCATTGGTCATTTAATATATGGAAAAAAAGGACCATGTAGAAATTCATGTAAACATTTTCTATTTTCTATTGTTTCATTCAGTTGGGAATGATAGTCCCAACTGACGAACTCATATTTTTCAGAGGGGTAGGTATACCACCAACCAGATATAGTTAACATTACTGGTTGGTGGCTGGTGGTTTCAAATATTTTTTTCCATAATATATGGGATAATCCTTCCCATTGACTTTCATTTTTTCAAGATGGTTAAAACCACCAACAAGTAAATCATGTACTTATTATATAAGCATTACAAGTGATTAATAGTACATATCCATATTAAACATAGTATTTCCATAGACGTTTACACAGCCATATTTAAACAGAGTGATTTCCCATGGACTGTGTTGCCAGATGGCAGAGGCCATCAATAGCACCGAAATGGTGATGACTGGGTGGTTTATGACATTCTTTTACCAACTTTCATACAGAAATTAATACAGAAATTTGGTTGGTGGTTTGGAACATGTGGATTATTGTTCCATTTCATATATGGGATGTCATCCTTCCCATTGATGAACTCATATTGATCAAGATGGTTAAAACTGTTAAAACCACCAACCAGATTAATACACAAATGTTTGTAAATGGTGGAAATTCAGCTCCATCCCCCCGGACTGCAGGAAGAAAAGGAAGAGAAGGTGCAGTGCTGGGCATTTTCAACCCCTACCTGGGGGGGAGCCGAACGATAGCTAACGTTGGTTTATAAGATTTCGTAAGCAGACTACTGCAGCTCGGATTTATGGTAGGCATATCTATAGTTTATGGGTTTTAGCCAACTTCTACCTAAAGGGGGCTCCATTTTGGAAGGGTTATCCAGACGGGAGGATGAGTCCTCAAAAGCAGTGGATGCCCTCGGTGTGTTCCAATCATTCTTGCGCAAGATCAATTGAGAAACTTGAAGCCTGTAAATTTGAGTTCAGAAAATTAACGTTTCCTGCAATTTTGAGTGAAATTGGTCAAGCTACCCATTTTCTTAGTTTCAACTGGGCATTTATGGTGTTTTTCCCCACCTGCCAGGTGAGGGTTGTTAGATTTTATCAGAGCGCTCTTCCTCCGCGTCCTCGTCCTCCTCCTCGTCATCCTCCTCCTCCTCCTCGACTAGCTGTCCTCTTCCTTCTCGTCCTCCTCCTCCAGTTTCTCCTCAACCATGTCTGCATCAACTTCCACCTGCACTTCCGCCTTGCCAACTCTTCGCCAAGCTCTTTGCCAACTCTCTTCGCCGACTCTCTGCGCCAAGCTCTTTGCCAACTTCCCAGCTCAGTGTGCACCGCTGGACCTCAACCGGGGACCTGCCCAGCTCAGTGTGCACCGCTGGACCTCAACCGGGGACCTGCCCAGCTCAGTGTGCACCGCTGGACCTCAACCTGGGACCTGCCCAGCTCAGTGTGCACCGCTGGACCTCAACGGCCAGATAGAATGCCAGATAGAATGCCAGATAGAATGCCAGACAGAATGCCAAAAGATTTGCCAGATAGAATGCCAGAAGATATGCCAGATAGAATGCCAGAAGATATGCCAGATAGAATGCCAGATAGAATGCCAGAAGATATGCCAGATAAAGTGCCAGAATGTTTGCCAGAACATATGCCAGAAGATTTGCTAGATAGAATGCCAGACGATATGCCAGAACATATGCCAGAAGATACACCAGAACATATGCCAGAAGATATGCCAGATAGAATGCCAGAAGATATGCCAGATAGAATGCCAGATAGAATGCCAGAAGATATGTCAGATAGAATGCCAGAAGATATGCCAGATAGAATGCCAGAAGATTTGCCAGAAGATATGCCAGAAGATATGCCAGATAGAATGCCAGATAGAATGCCAGAAGATATGCCAGAAGATATGCCAGATAGAATGCCAGATAGAATGCCAGAAGATTTGCCAGATAGAATGCCAGAAAATATGCCAGAAGATATGCCAGATAGATATGTCAGAAGATATGCCAGAAGATATGCCAGAAGATATGCCAGAAGATATGTCAGATAGAATGCCAGAAGATATGTCAGAATATATGCCAGAAGATATGCCAGATAGAATGCCAGAAGATATGTCAGATAGAATGCCAGAAGATATGCCAGATAGAATGCCAGATAGAATGCCAGAAGATTTGCCGGATAGAATGCCAGAAAATATGCCAGATAGAATGCCAGAAGATTTGCCAGATAGAATGCCAGAAGATATGCAAGATAGAATGCCAGAAGATTTGCCAGATAGAATGCCAGAAGGTATGCCGGAACATATGCCAGAAGATATGCCAGATAGAATGCCAGAAGATATGTCAGATAGAATGTCAGAATCTTTGCGAGTAACAAAATGTATAAATGTCATGGTGGGGATCACACGAAGTAAAGTAATTTATGGCCAGAACGCCACAGCCCAGACTTTTTTGGGGTTTCAGATTCCACCATACCTTTAAGATTTGTTGATAGATTACTTTTGCGTCACCTCAGAATTGGTGTTTCAAGGAGTTGCTTTTTGACTTCAGACTTTTAAATGAATGTTCTTGTTCTCTTGCTTTCCATTTCCTGTTGTTTCATGTGTGATGGTTTCTGTTTGTTTCCTCTCCGCCTTCCTTTCTTTCTCTTGGTTTCCTTCAACTGTTCTGTCCTTCTTGTATTGTTTTTTTTCTACAATTGCCTTTTCCATTTTTCTAGGCTTCTGTTTTTTCTCGGTGTTTTTCCCCTTTTTGACCTGCAAGATGTATTTTTAGGTCTTCATGCGTTTCATCGTGGGGATTGTCACCATCCACAGACTTTGCGATTGGGAAGATATTGGAAATCCATCATATCTCCATATCAATCCCATATGTTTCCCATAATCATGTGTCTTCATAGAGTTTTCCCCCACATCCGATCCATAGTGACATAGCTTTTTGTACGGAGACTGTACGCTTAAAGTTATAAGACTTTACAGACTTAGCCTAGATATACAGAAGTTAACGTATTTATGTTGGAAGTTAACATGACTTATCGAAAAGATAAAAGAAAGTTATGTTAACTTTAATAATTTATTTGGAAGTTTTGTCTTAACTTTTTATAACTTGTGATAACTTTTTATAACTGTTCATAACTTTTTGTAACCTTTTGTATATTTTTATACTTTTGAAAGTCTTTGCCTTGGTTTCCGACCATGTAGATTTTATAACTGTCTTGTTTCTGAAAGAACTTTCAGATATGATATCCTTTTTTTGGTCCTAAGGAATCGACGAAGTGATGTGAAAGCGTTTCAGTTATGTATGTTTCAGGAATCATGACATCTGAGGCGATATGTTTTTTTAGTGATCAAAGGAAGTTTAGGGGGAGAAACTTCCGTGTTACGGACTTTTAGAATGTCAGGGAAAGAGTTAGTCAAAGAAAGAGTTAGTCAAAGAAACAGTTAGCAAAGAAAGAGTTCGTCAGGGAAAGAGTTAGTCAAAGAAAGAGTTAGTCAAAGAAACAGTTAGTCAGGGAAAGAGTTAGTCAAAGAAAGAGTTAGTGAGGGAAAGAGTTAGTCAAAGAAAGATTTAGCAAAGAAACAGTTAGTCAGGGAAAGAGTTAGTCAAAGAAAGAGTTAGTGAGGGAAAGAGTTAGTCAAAGAAAGAGTTAGCAAAGAAACAGTTAGTCAAGGAAAGAGTTAGTCAAAGAAAGAGTTAGTGAGGGAAAGAGTTAGTCAAAGAAAGAGTTAGCAAAGAAAGAGTTCGTCAGGGAAAGAGTTAGTCAAAGAAACAGTTAGTCAGGGAAAGAGTTAGTCAAAGAAAGAGTTAGTGAGGGAAAGAGTCAGTCAAAGAAAGAGTTAGCAAAGAAACAGTTAGTCAGGGAAGAAAGAGTTAGTGAGGGAAAGAGTTAGTCAAAGAAAGAGTTAGTCAGGATATATGAGGTAGTCAAAGAAAGAGTTAGCAAAGAAACAAGTTAGTCAAAGAAAGAGTTAGTGAGGAAAAGAGTTAGTCACAGAAAGAGTTAGCAAAGAAATTGTTCCCTCACTGTACATGGGATTGCAAGTGGTGCTGGTGGAGGAGTTGCCGATGGAGTTTTGGAGGAAGTCTCGCACGAAATGCGTTTTTGAGAGATAGCAGATGCACGAAAGCCTATGTTTTTCCATACAAAGTCCGTCCCCGAACCTCGATGATCTACCTCTCTGCGGTGCGACGGGTGCGAGACGGTCTCGTGTGTGGTCGGATCATGGTCGGATATTCTCGGATCATGTTCGGATCGGTTCCGCATTGTAAATGGGGTTTCACCTGCGTTTCGTGCATGTGCGGTCGACAGAATTCCATTGTGATTTGCAACTGTAGGATCGTTCCCGCATTGTAAATGGGGTTGCAAGTGGTGCTGGTGGATGAGTTGCCGATGGAATTCCATTTTGATTTGCAACTCTAGGATCGTTCCCTCACTGTAAATGGGATTGCAAGTGGTGCTGGTGGAGGAGTTGCCGATGGAGTTTTGGAGGAAGTCTCGCACGAAATGCGTTTTTGAGAGATAGCAGATGCACGAAACCCTATGTTTTTCCATACAAAGTCCGTCCCCGAACCTCGATGATCTACCTCTGCGGTGCGACGGGTGCGAGACGGTCTCGTGTGTGGTCGGATCATGGTCGGATATTCTCGGATCATGTTCGGATCGGTTCCGCATTGTAAATGGGGTTTCACCTGTGTTTCGTGCATGTGTGGTCGACAGAATTCCATTGTGATTTGCAACTGTAGGATCGTTCCCGCATTGTAAATGGGGTTGCAAGTGGTGCTGGTGGATGAGTTGCCGATGGAATTCCATTGTGATTTGCAACTCTAGGATCGTTCCCTCACTGTAAATGGGATTGCAAGTGGTGCTGGTGGAGGAGTTGCCGATGGAGTTTTGAAGGAAGTCTCGCACGAAATGCGTTTTTGAGAGATAGCAGATGCACGAAACCCTATGTTTTTCCATACAAAGTCCGTCCCCGAACCTCGATGATCTACCTCTGCGGTGCGACGGGTGCGAGACGGTCTCGTGTGTGGTCGGATCATGGTCGGATATTCTCGGATCATGTTCGGATCGGTTCCGCATTGTAAATGGGGTTTCACCTGTGTTTCGTGCATGTGTGGTCGACAGAATTCCATTGTGATTTGCAACTGTAGGATCGTTCCCGCATTGTAAATGGGGTTCAAGTGGTTGGTGGATGAGTTGCCGATGGAATTCCATTGTGATTTGCAACTCTAGGATCGTTCCCTCATGTAAATGGGATTGCAAGTGGTGCTGGTGGATGAGTTGCCGATGGAGTTTTGAAGGAAGTCTCGCACGAAATGCGTTTTTGAGAGATAGCAGATGCACGAAACCCTATGTTTTTCCATACAAAGTCTGTCCCCGAACCTCGATGATCTACCTCTGCGGTGCGACGGGTGCGAGACGGTCTCGTGTGTGGTCGGGTCGGATCATGGTCGGATATGCTCGGATCATTCTCGGATCGGTTCCGCATTGTAAATGGGGTGTCAACTGTTTTTCGTGCATGTGTGGTCGACAGAATTCCATTGTGATTTGCAACTGTAGGATCGTTCCCGCATTGTAAATGGGGTTGCAAGTGGTGCTGGTGGATGAGTTGCCGATGGAATTCCATTGTGATTTGCAACTCTAGGATCGTTCCCTCACTGTAAATGGGATTGCAAGTGGTGCTGGTGGAGGAGTTGCCGATGGAGTTTTGAAGGAAGTCTCGCACGAAATGCGTTTTTGAGAGATAGCAGATGCACGAAAGCCTATGTTTTTCCATACAAAGTGTGTCCACGAACCTCGATGATCTACCTCTGCTGTGCGACGGGTGCGAGACGGTCTCGTGTGTGGTCGGATCATGTTCGGATCATGTTCGGATCGGTCTCGGATCATGCTCGGATCGGTTCCGCATTGTAAATGGGGTTTCAACTGTTTTTCGTGCATGTGTGGTCGACAGAATTCCATTGTGATTTGCAACTGTAGGATCGTTCCCGCATTGTAAATGGGGTTGCAAGTGGTGCTGGTGGATGAGTTGCAGATGGAATTCCATTGTGATTTGCAACTGTAGGATCGTTCCCTCACTGTAAATGGGATTGCAAGTGGTGCTGGTGGATGAGTTGCCGATGGAATTCCATTGTGATTTGCAAGTCTAGGATCGTTCCCTCCCTGTAAATGGTTGCGTCAAGGTTCCTTCGTGCTGTGGCTGCATTGGTAATACTATTGTCTTTTGCAGCTGGACTTCGCAAATCGTATTGGAGTGGCTGCATGAAGGCTGCCACAGTGATTTGTTGGCAGATTTTCTTCATTTTGGCGCTAGTGAATTTCCTTCTAAAAATTTTTTAAAAAGTGCTTCAAAATCGTCTTTTTTTCGCTCTGGCGTCGAGATCCGGTTTTGGAGCTACAATTTCCGACGCCGTTGCGCGTAGTTCTATTGTGCTTTGCAACTCAGTCTCTGCAGATCGCATTGTAATGGCTGCGTCAAGGTTGCTTCGTGCTGTGGCTGCATTTGTCATACTATTGTCTTTTGCAGCTGGATCTCGTAAATCGTATTGGAGTGGCTGCATGAAGGCTGCGACAGTGATTTGTCAGCAGATTTTCTCCATTTTGGCGCTAGTGATTTTCCTTCTAAAAATCCTTTTAAAAAGTGCTTCAAAATCGTCTTTTTTTCGCTCTGGCGTCGAGATCCGGTTTTGGAGCTACAATTTCCGACGCCGTTGTGCGTAGTTCTATTGTGTTTTGCAACTCAGTCTCTGCAGATCGCATTGTAATGGCTGCGTCAAGGTTGCTTCGTGCTGTGGCTGCATTGGTAATACTATTGTCTTTTGCAGCTGGATCTCGTAAATCGTATTGGAGTGGCTGCATGAAGGCTGCGAAATGGGATTTGTTAGCAGATTTTCTCCATTTTGGCGCTAGTGATTTTCCTTCTAAAAATCCTTTTAAAAAGTGCTTCAAAATCGTCTTTTTTTCGCTCTGGCGTCGAGATCCGGTTTTGGAGCTACAATTTCCGACGCCGTTGCGCGTACTTCTATTGCGTTTTGCAACTCAGTCTCTGCAGATCGCATTGTAATGGCTGCGTCAAGGTTGCTTGGTGCCGCGGCTGCATGCGCAATACTATTGTCTTTTGCAACTGGACTTCGTAAATCGTATTGGAGTAGTTGCATCAAGGGTTCGACAGTGATTAGTAGTAGTGCTGGGAATTGATTAATGAAAGCTTAATAGATGACATATGAGAAGGGACGAAATGAGAAGAGATGAGCTGGGATAAGGTGAGAAGAGCTCAGATGAGATGAACTGTGGAGTGTGAAGAGTGTAGTGTGAAATGTGGGGCGTGAAGAGTGCAGTGTGAAGTGTGAAGTGTGAAGTTTGGAGTGTGAAGGAAGCAGTGAGAAGTGAGAAGTGTGAAGTGTGGACTGTGAAGTGTGGAGTGTGAAGTTTGGAGTGCAAAGAGTGCAGTGTGAAGTGTGGAGTGTGAAGAATGCAGTGTGAAGTGTACAGTGTGAAGGAAGCAGTGGGAAGTGAGAAGTGTGAAGTGTGGAGTGTGAAGTTTAAGTTTGGAGTGCGAAGAGTGAGTGTGAAGTGTGAAGTGTGAGGTTTGGAGTGTGAAGGCAGCAGTGAGACGTGAGAAGTGTGAAGTGTGGACTGTGAAGTGTGGAGTGTGAAGTGCGAAGTGAGAAGTGTGAAGTTTGGAGTGTGAAGGAAGCAGTGAGAAGTGTGAAGTGCAAAGTGAGAAGTGTGAAGTGTGAAGTTTGGAGTGTGAAGTTTGGAGTGGGAAGGAAGCAGTGAGAAGTGAGAAGTGTGAAGTGTGGACTGTGAAGTGTGGAGTGTGAAGTGCGAAGTGAGAAGTGTGAAGTGTGGACTGTGAAGGAAGCAGTGAGAAGTGAGAAGTGTGAAGTGAGAAGTGTGAAGTGTGGACTGTGCAGTGTGGAGTGCGAAGAGCGCAGTGTGAAGTGTGAAGTGTGAAGTGTGAGGTTTGGAGTGTGAAGGAAGCAGTGAGAAGTGTGAAGTGTGGACTGTGAAGTGTGAAGTGTGAGTGAAGTGTGAGTGAAGTGTGGAGTGTGAAGTGCGAAGTGAGAAGTGTGAAGTGTGAAGTTTGGAGTGTGAAGTTTGGAGTGGGAAGGAAGCAGTGAGAAGTGAGAAGTGTGAAGTGTGGACTGTGAAGTGTGGAGTGTGAAGTGCGAAGTGAGAAGTGCGAAGTTTGGAGTGTGAAGGAAGCAGTGAGAAGTGAGAAGTGTGAAGTGGGAAGTGTGAAATGTGGAGTGTGAAGTGTGAAGTGTGAAGTGCGAAGTGAGAAGTGAGAAGTGTGGACTGTGAAGTGTGAAGTGTGAAAGTGAAGTGTGAAGTGTGGACTGGAAGTGTGAAGTGTGCAGTGTGAAGTGTGAAGTGTGGACTGTGAAGTGTGAAGTGTGCAGTGTGAAGTGTGTGAGTGTGAGGTTTGGAGTGTGAAGGAAGCAGTGAGAAGTGAGAAGTGTGGAGTGTGAAGTGTGGAGTGTGAAGTTTGAAGTTTGGAGTGCGAAGAGTGCAGTGTGCAGTGTGAGGTGTGGAGTGTCGAGGGTCGGACACGGTCGGGACAGGGTGTCTTTGAACTATAGGTCATTCATGTTTGGGAAACTTCCGCCGCCGGCTTGCCCGGGTCTATGTTATCTCTTTCTGTATTTTTGGATCTGGAAACAAGTTTAGTTGCAACTGTTCCCGTTCGGGATCCGATGGGATCCGTTATCTTGTAGAAACTATCCCGTTCGGGATTTGGTTGTTTCAACCTATCCCTTTCGGGATCTGGTCCGTTCCAACGATCCCTTTCGGGATTTGGTTTCTTCAACCCATCCCTTTCGGGATCTGTTTTTTTCAAACTTTCCCTTTCGGGATTTGGTTTCTTCAACTCATCCCTTTCGGGATCTGTGTGTTTCAAACTGTCTCTTTCGGGATTTGTTTTGTCTGAACTATAGCTAGTTTTGTCTGAACTATAGCGATTTTTGTCTGAACTATAGCTAGTTTTGTCTGAACTATAGCTAGTTTTGTCTGAACTATAGCGATTTTTTTCTGAACTATAGCTATTTTTGTCTGAACTATAGCTATTCTTGTCTGAACTATAGCCATTTTTTTCTGAACTATAGATATTTTTGTCTGAACTATAGATATTTTTGTCTGAACTATAGCTAGTTTTGTCTGAACTATAGATATTTTTGTCTGAACTATAGCCATTTTTTTCTGGACTATAGATATTTTTGTCTGAACTATAGATATTTTTGTCTGAACTATAGCTAGTTTTGTCTGAACTATAGCTAGTTTTGTCTGAACTATAGCGATTTTTTTCTGAACTATAGCTAGTTTTGTCTGAACTATAGCTAGTTTTGTCTGAACTATAGCCATTTTTGTCTGAACTATAGCCATTTTTGTCTGAACTATAGCCATTTTTGTCTGAACTATAGCCATTTTTGTCTGAACTATAGCTAGTTTTGTCTGAACTATAGCTGGTTTTGTCTGAACTATAGCTAGTTTTGTCTGAACTATAGCTTAACTATAGCTGAACTATAGCTGAACTATAGATTTGGCTAGCTCCAAAAGATTTTTTCACCCTGTATAAGTGTTGAACAGTTTTGTCACAAACTTCATGAAATTCTCGAAAAATGTAAAATAAAGACACATTTTCATTGCCCTCTTGTAAACATATTTTTAACTTTATATAACTTTATACTAACTTTTTATAACTTTTTATAACTTTTTATAACTTTTGTTACCTTTCAGATAACTTATGATAACTTTTCCTACATACTTATGTTAAGTCTGTGAACATAGTTATAAACAGAAAACATGCAGTTAAGATACTTACGATAAGTTCATTAAACATTTATATTTTACCTAAACATTTACAACTTCACGTAGCCGGCTAGCTGAACTTACAAATTACTTATCAAATGTTATGACACTTTACATACTTGCAAGCAGGTTATAGACATGTTATAGAAGGTTTATATACATGTTGTAACTCGTCTAAATCTGTAAACTCATATAACTTCCAGCATACAGTCTCCGTATGAGTTTTCCCATTAAAAAAACGCATTTCTTCCATGGATTTTCCATCGTTTTCCCATTTCGCAAGCCCAGGAAGAAAAGGCGAAGCTGCAAAAACGTCGCGAGCGACAGAAGAGCGATGCCTCCGACGTTTCTTGGCGCGGGATTTTTTCTGGGGATTTAACATGATTTAAGCATCAAAATTATGGGTTTATTATGGGTTTATTATGGGTTTATGATGGTTTATGATGGTTTATGATGGGTTTATGATGGTTTATGACGAGTTTATGATGGTTTGTGATGGTTTGTGATGGTTTTTGATGGTTTTTGATGGTTTATGATGGTTTTTGATGGTTTATAGTTTATACATGTTTATACCAGACGGGCATATAGCTGCAACATGTTGAAACATGACGGTTGGCTGATGATGTTTTCGGGGTTTTGCTTCCCAGACATACTTTTGGATGATGTTGACCCATGAAGGGAATTTTATGGGTTGGGTTATCATCCACCCAAAAGGGGTGGACTTGATTGAATTCCTAGTAAATCAATGACACATTGAACCGAACCTCTTTTCTTTTTTGGGGTTCGGCATGTATGAGTTGTCTTGGTACTTTTTAGTTTGCTGTTCTGAATTGATACCTGCTTGGTATGGTCCCACTATGTAGCACTACAAGTATAATGACATAAGCCTTACCCAACAAAAACCTTTCAAATCTGGTAATTTCCTGAAATAGGGCTACTCCCAGTTCTCATCCATTGATAGATGGATTTTCCCTGGCTAAAAAAAAAACATCCATTTTTGGGTACATTGAATCCAAGCAGGTTGATGATGGCTTCGGGGCTTGAATCCCCATTCACTAACCAGTATATTATGAATGTTTCAAATAGGTTCTAGATCCCAAAAATTACATAAGACCCACACTTTATGATATTTTATGCATGTACGGGGATATTTTGGGAATATATGATCAAGCGCTTATATAATCTCATATATAATGATTCATCGTATGAGATTTTGGACCGGATAACCCAAAAAGGGTATGGCGACTTCATGGCAGTATCATTTTGGACCAACTTAAGTGGTATTTTCTAATCCTAAACCTCTCTAAGCCTTTCATTTGACTAACCTTTGTGGGTTGCTAGGTAACCATTAACCATTGTTGTTCTTTTTTTTTGCCACTTTGGATGGGCAAAACAACTCACCAACAAAAACGAGGGCAGGGTATTCAAGCTTAGCCATGAGTGTTCTCGGCACTAGTGATACAAGGGTAGTTCCCAAGGAACAAAACAACACTTTTCACAACATATTCCTGGCTTACAATTGGTTTAAGCGGGATAAATGTTGTTGTTTCTTTGTTGAGTTGTTTGTGCATCAGAAGTCTTGCAATGTTTCATGCCGATCCCATTAGATATGATTCTTTCCGATCTCAATTATATATATACACATGTAATTCAGCCATGTGATATCCCATATGCTCCAAGTTTGTTAGTTTACTAAGATTGACCGGTAAATGTACCATGGTATATTGGAAGGATTGTATTTTTACACATAGAGTTTAGCCGTTGGGTGATTAGACCGGTAAACTCCACATGTGCCTTTCATGTTGTCAGCTTTTAGCATGGAATCAACAACATGAAACAATTATGAATCATTAGCTGAGATATTTCACTATCCGATTCTAAGATATTATAAGATATTGCAAGATATTATCAGTACAATTATAGGCCATCATGAGCATGTATACATATGTATTTGTCAAGGTCACAGTATGATACCAAGGTCGAATACGGCCTGGTTTTTCCAAGGTGTGTCGAAACCACTCAGTGGTCAGAGGAATTGCAGGTCAAGATGGTGCAAACATCAGATCGACATGCTGTGCGGAGGTCTTCCACGTTGGATGTAGATTGTTGTCCAATGGTCGTTGCGCATGCTTTGAAATGTTCAGGACCAAACTTGATCATAGCATCCACTTGGTTCAAAGAATTCTACAAACAACGTGACCAAGTTCACTTCACCACGTCTGTCGCTTCTGATGTGGAGCAACGAACAAGCGGCCCATTTTTACTGTGTGAAGATCGAGTTTTTGTCCCATCCCGCCTGGTGACTCCGGTCGGAAAGTCATCAGCCAACAGGCAGATGGGTGGATCAAAGGTTTTTGATTCACCATTTGGGGGTTTCCATAAATGGAGCTACCCCAACATGGTTTGTAAGGGAAAATCCGAAATTGAAATGGATGATAACTAGGGGTGCCCCATTTATGGAAACCAGCATTTGGATGTCTCTCAAAATGCCGTGTAGAAAAAACATAGCTCCCAAATGAGGACTTACAGAAGAAACATGATGATAATCTGGTTGGTGGTTTGGAACATGTGGATTATTTTTCCCATCATCTTGGGAACGTCATCATCCCAACTGACGAGTTCTTATATTTTTCAGAGAAGCAGGTCAACCACCAACCAGTTAATCCATGGGAATCGGGGATACCCTATTTTCAACCCATCACTTAGTGCTGGGGCGGGCAGTTTTTTCTTATGTCTAGTCCCATTTTTCCGACGGAGCGGAGCGGCTCGGTGTGAAACCTTACACTTCCATTGGGACTCATGATGATGTCATTAATGGTGGTTATTGGTGGTTAATGGAGGTTAATGGTGGTTAATGGAGGTTATTAATGGCTAATCGTGAAATAATGGTGATTTACCCTCTGGTAATGACTAACAGTTTGCGACATAGAAAATGGCACAGTCGAAATAGTTGATTTACCTATGAACAATGGTGATTTTCCATGGTTATGTAAACGTTTACCAGAGGGTAAATGCTCCAATCCAAAGTATCATCAAGTTCCGTAGTGGGTATAACCCTTCTATGGCTGGTGATATTCCACAGATCAGCTATGTGGTAGCTACATGTAAACCGTACATAAACTATATATATATAAACATGTATTCACCATTAAACCACAAGGGATACAGTATGCCCAGTATGCCCCCAAGAATTGCCATTTCAAGATATTTCAAGGGGAACATGATTATTCATTGATTCAGTTCCCAATAGTTTTTGAGACGAATCTATATAAAACATAGTTTTTGCCAGCAAGAAAAGATTATGGTCCATTTATATGTTTAAGGAAAACAACTACAGGAAAGCATGGGGACTAGCCTCAAATATTGGTTGTTGCTGCAATTGTTTCCTTACACCAAATCATTGAAACGTCAGCATGGTTGATTTCCCCATGATATTCCCGCTCTAAGTAACATATTTAGATCCGCATAACATTGTTGGTACTCAATCACAGATCCCCATAACCTATCTTCATGCATGATATAACTGATATAACCATGTTTGCTGGGGAGAACATCAAATCCCATTGTAATCTATTGTAACTATAACCCAACCATGTTCTGATGATTCTTCTTATATGTATATAATTATATATATTCCCTTGTTTGGATAGTTAAACAGTTACATCTAAATGTTTGTTGTTGAGTATTCCACTTGTTTCTACTTTAGATCCTCCATTTGACCACACCGATGGGATATTTTGAAAAGATAAAACCAGAGATGTACCAGATTTCAACTGCTTGGTTGAACAGATAAAACCAGAGATGGTGTTTGGGGCGTGTGTGCTATTTTCATGAACCGGGGGATGTTTTTTTCAAACAAAACCACACTTATGGCCCCACAAACAGTTATAACTGGGTTTTGTTAATGATATATAAGCTTAGTTATAGGAGTTATAACCCCATTTATAGAATGTATTTTATCGCATTGAGATCCCGAGTTATAACTAATAGCCATGGCCAATTTCTGCAGAATGTAGCCAGATCGTACCTAGCGCACAGGTCTTCGCTATCTTGGGCATTGCCAAGTCAAAGGTTGGCTTTTGGGAGTGAACAATCACCACAACCATGGGGAAAACTACATTGAAGCATGCTGCTTTAATGGGATTACGGGATTACATAATGTTATATATCCCTATGGCATAGTTATGGATCCAAACACTGTCTGAGAAGGTACTTAACCTCCTTAATCATGCGCAAAACACTTCCTAAGAAGGTACTTGGATCCATGGGGTGTATGTATATATATATATAATTATATACACATTAATGTTTGCCGTTAAAACATGCATCATCCTACTTAGTAAGTGGGTTCTAAGACGAGTTATAAGATGATTACCATACTTACTTATCTCACGTTTGGCCGGAAATTTGGCTTACTTACTAAGTGGGATAAGCCACAAAGTAGGACTTTGACCTGTGAAAAAAATGGTTCGTCTAATGGTAATTTTAATCTTTGAAAGCTGGACGGACATATCAAGCACAATGAGATTATGACCAACAAACATAGATATTTGATCACCAATTTGTGGTGATGTTTTTTGTTGTTGCAAAGAACTATATCTGGTTTGTCTAGTAAAAATTGCATTGCAGGGGATATATATATAAAAGTATTGCTTATGGAACCGCTGGCCGGAAAGAGTGTCACGTTTGATTGGAGCGGAAAATTCACCAGAGGTATTGGATTATGAACTCGACCACAGCAAGGTTTGAGATTTTCTGTAGCCATTTTGGCTCAAGTGGATTGGCTCAATCGTCCAGCTGAAGAAGCTGCCTTCCAGCTGGGACCTGCGAGCTTGCCAGACCCCATGGAAGCGATGCCAGGTTAAGGTGGCAGGACAAATCGTTCTTGCACCTGCAGCCATTTTAACAAACAATTTGTCGTAACCTGGGGTGATACATAGTTGGGGGTTGACAGCTCAGCAGTTCAAGACCAGCTGGTGAATGTCACGCTAAGGTGGGACAAATCCTTCTTGCACCTGCAGCCATTTTAACAAACAATTTGTCGTGACCGGGGGTGATCCATTATTTGGTGGTTGACAGCTTAGCAGTTCAAGACCGGCTCCAGAATGTCACGCTTAGATGGGACGAATCATTCTTGCAACTGTAGCCATTTTGACAAGCAATTTTTCGTGACATGGGGCGATCCATAGCCTGGGGGTTGACAGCTCAGCAGTTCAAGACCTGCTGGCGAATGTCACGCAAGGTGGGACAAATTATTCAAATTGTTTCTGCAACGACTGCCATTTTAACAAGCAATTTGTCGCGATTCGGGCGATCCATAGTTCATGTGTTGACAGCTTAGCAGGTCAAGATCAGCTCATACATGTCAAGCTAAGGAGAGACAAGTCGTCCTTGCATCTGCAGCTATTTTTAACAAACAAGCTGTCGCGACTTTGTGGGCTGACATCTCCGCAGTTTCAATCACGGCAAACAAATGTCCAGCTAAATTATGACTTGTTTTCTTCTTTTGTCGAACTTGCTGCTTTTTGTTTTCCTCTTCCAACGCCCTCTGCTGCTGGTTTGGTTTTTGGATCAGCTCAGGCTTGTTGCTTTCACATGGCGGCGTTTGGGATCCAAGACTCGCTCAGTGAAGTTGTTGAGCGCTCTTAGTGGATACTCTGCCTTTGTATTTCCTTTAACTGGTGTTTATTTTTGTTCCCTTTTCTTCACCTTCCTGGAATTGTAAAGTAGGCAATGTTGTGACCTTTGTCTTGGGTTTTTTGCTCAAATTAGACAAATATAGTTTGGCCCGTTGTTTCACTGGAGCTCTTTGCGAAGCTCTACCGTGATTGCCCTGTCGATCCATCTTTCCCAGGCACACATGGCAGCCAAGGCACTGTCTGAGATTCTGAAGATCTGGGAGGGTGAGGTGTGGGCAAAGGAGATCGATGAGGCAGAAACCAAGATGCTAGTTGAAGGTGCTCGTTGGGCAAGGGAGATTGACATGGAAGAATACCAGAAATGGGCAGATGAGTTGACGGACGAGTGGGCCGCTCAACAGAAGATCCTCGCAGAAAGAAGAATAGGATGAAGAATCAGGTGCGTCCAAAAGGCTCAAGGCCTGCAGCACCACGAGACCCCCAAAGACCGCAGCTCCCTTTTTGACAGGACAGCTCAGCGTCACTGATTATGTAGCAAAGGAGTTCAAGATGAAAACGGCCAAGGAGTTTGACAGGGCCAAGAATGATTTTCTTCAGACCATCAAAGCTTTGGGTGTTGGCTACTGGGAAGCCTTGATTGTGACTTTCCACCCCGTGCTGACCAGTGAAGCTGGTTTACACGATTTGGCCAAGAAAATGGGTGTGGTGGTGCTGCCTCAGGATAAGCATGTGGCTATCCCAGCTAACACCCCATTGCCTTATGCCATCATGGGAGGAGATCGTATCAAGCCATCGCTCCAGATCCTTTTCCAGAAGGTCCCGGAAAAGAAGTTGACAATGCAGGGTAATCTCAAGCAAGGTCTGGTGGTCTGAAAGGGCCGGTGTAGCATCATTGCGCAGCATGTTGAGGCCTTTTTAGCTCTATGCGGGCCAGTGGTCAAGGTCAACCCTTTCGCCCAGGCTGTCAAGAGGAAGGTTTCGACTGAACAGGCATTTCCAGGGAAGTGCATCAGAGATTTGTTCCTGGTACAGAATGCAGGTGCCTGATAGGCTCCTGGCCTCCCCCGCTTTAATTGGTAATTCCATTTGCAGCAGTTTCAACTGGCTGTTGGACGCGCGTAGGTTTTCATTTTCGGCAATCTGTTTTGCTGCAAAGCAGGTTCATTGGAAGCGTGGATCGAATGAGCTTGTGGAAAAGTCACAAGTGACAAGGGGGTGTTTCTCCCATCGTTTGACTTTGTGGGCTTGTCCTACTATATTGTCTTTGAGCCTTGTGGGCACTGTGCTTTTTCCTTTTGTGGGGTTGCTGGTGTACCTTTTCCCAATTGGCGTTGTTTCATTTGAACTGCTTGCATTGCTAGGAGGTGATGATTTGTGATGTTTTACTTCAATTACTAAATCAAGCAGGTAGCATTCTGTGTCACTTTTAGCTGGTAAAGTTCAATGGACTTCTTCAGGCGGCTTTTTTCGCTATGGTTACAATCCAACCCTAAGCGGTTGGAAAAACTCGCGTTTCTCAAGGGTGTCCGAACGTTGCTATTGCTGGCACCCAGCATGGTTGCCTCTGGATCAACAAGGGTGCACGAATCTGCAGCAGATTTGTTGAATCTAGCCCTGTTCCCCAACAGGTTCTGAAATCCATGGTAGCAGCACTTGGCTTGCAGCCATCTGCAGTTGAGCCACTTACAGCTTACCAGTCCATATGCAGGCGGCACCCCAATCCACGAAGCTCGGGTGAACACTGCTGTCTCACAATCGGATCCCTCTCAACCCCGGCCGATCTGGACTACAACACCCTGCTGGAATGGAGGTTGTGGGCTATCACAGGTGCAGCTAAGGCTAGAGACATTCAGGTCCTTTTCTTGCCTGGCGCAAGACTTCCGCCTGGAACCATTTTGCCCCAAATTTTGGGCTTTTGTTTCCTGGGGCCCAGATCCACACAATGGGACACAGTTGGACTGTTATGCGCAGTAGAGATGGAGCCTTTGCTTGTGCCCTTAGATGATTTCTCAACTGACAGGGTGTTCTGGCTTGGCTACAATGTTTTTTTGGGCCGGGGAGGGAAGGTCGAAGTTTTCTTCTTTGTGGATTCTATGCTGCGCCAGGTGGTGAGCTTGACACATGGTCCTGGATCATAAAGACTTTCCACGAAGTCAGAAAGAAGTTCCCTGGTTGCTCCATAGTTTTAGCAGGCGATGCTAGTGTTCACCTCAGGAGTGTAGTGCAGCACAATCTAAGTTGCACATGTGTTCATTGCAAACAATCGAAGGCTGATGCTCAGATTGAAGCAGTGATTCTCAATGCGGGCCTTAAGGTGCTAGATTTTGATTGCCCAACTCACTTCTCAGGAACGGTCATTGGTTTAATTTTGGTACCAAGGGAGGCTGGTGCAAGTGCAGAAAACTCAGGGCCAAGTATCGGTGGCAAATCATTCAGAAGGTGTTCATGAAGAACTTATAAGTATCTAACTGGGAAGGCAGTTGATAAGTATTTCAATCTACAAAAAACCGACCCGGGGGCGGCGGAACAATTTCTCACGCGTTTCTTTGCGAAAGCGGACGCCTTTGATATAAATTTGTTGGATTGCCAAGGCTTTCCACTCTCAGACGCGGGCATGATTGAGGCACTTGTAGACGATATGATGGGGAGGGCTGCCAGCGTTTTCCCTCAGGACGAAGGAATTTAGACAGGGTTGTCGACAGCAGGTCAGGCAATTCCGAATCCAAGGCTTTGGCATACCAGAGTCCAACCTCTCTGAAGGATTTTATAGTCTGCGGGACTTGGACTCATGCCTGTCAAAAATCAAAAAGTATAAGAAATGCTTGAAAATCACTGTTGCTGTCGTTACATCCCACAATTTACACATGCTCACAGCAACTTTGGGTTTGGCAAATTTGGCCCTACATGTGGGATTGACCTCCTCTCTCTGATCCCTGCGGCAGTTTGTACATCTGCGCAAGGCAGGGCCGTCAGTGGTGCGCTCAATCAGGTGTCTTCGCCCTGTCTCACTAGTTTGTGATCGACATGGCACATGTAATTGATACTCTTTGGATTCAGCGGAAAAGAGGGCAGTTGGAGGTTTTTGCAGGGCCATGTCAGCTAGGTGGTGTTTCAGGTGCGGTTCTTCTAGTTTTGGCGGTTGTGGTGCTGGCACAAGCCCGGAAGTATTTCGGCATTTCAACTTTTCTTGTCACATTGGATTTAAAGTGGGCTTTTGACATGGCCCCTTTGGATTGCATGAAGCTGGCTTGTATGGAAGCCGGATTGAGTTTGGAAAGCTGACTGCATCTGGATGCTATCCTGGAAGCAGATAGGCAATGTGTTCAGCTTCATGGGCTCTTGTCACAGGTGTTTTCTTTAGGATGTGGCACAGCGCAGGGTCAAAGATTCAGTGTGCACGTTTTCATCAGTATGTTGAAAAATGAAATGGCTTTCAGAAGCGGTCCAAGAGCAAGTGCCACGTGGTACTTGTGTATCTTGTGTGACAGTGCCCCCACTTGCCTCGGAAGTTTTTCAAACAACACTGAGAGTTAGACATGCACTTGACTTTGTTTCCAGGGCATCCCCAGTACAGGCACTTCAGCCGGCTATCAGTTTTATACAGGATTGCCTGGCTGCACCTGTGAAGAAGGAAACTCAATATGATATATCGGAGGTTCTGCGAGGATTTGCAAAACACAATGACAGGACAAAACACAATGACAGGACTGCAGTGGTAGAGAAATGGGAACGGGGAGGTTCCATAGCTTTCAGTATGTGGATGATGCCATTGTCCCTTGCGCCTCCCAAGGAGATGTGGCAGCAATAGTCAACAAAACCAACACAAGTGCTTGTTCTATTTTTGCAAAACAAACAAAGAGTCAATTTCACTACGGCCCTGCAAAAACGTCCTGCTTGCCATTGTTTGATTGCCCGCCGGTCCAAACTGAAGGGTTGGATTGCGATATTGTTCAGGAAAAGTTGATTTTGGGTGTTTTGGTTGGTTCTCAGCTTTCTTTTGCACCTTTACTTCGCTGGGCATTGAAGCGTGGATGGGAAACCTTTGTTTCGTTTCTTTATGCTGCCAATCCCGGGGGTTTTCCTTGCCTGATTTTTGGCGGCACAAACAGAAACGAGGATTGTCAGCAAGCTCATGCACTTGGCACCTTTTCTTTGTTTGGCCCCTGGCGCATACCACAAGCTTAACCGCTTGCAGTGGAATTGGGGAAAGATGCTGTTGGGGGTACGTGATCAAGTTGAAATCCGGCATGCTCTCTTGCGGGCACAGTGCGGGTGGGAACTCAGTTTGGGTTGGGTCTCAAAATGACGTTGGAAGTTTTGGCAATGTCGCTCGTTTATATTTATTGCCTCCCAGTCACCCATTGCGGGAAATGCAGAAACCGCTCTCTCCGTATCAGGTTACCACTTGGTGGGTCCAGGTTGGAAATTTGCTTGGAAGTTTGGGTTGGCCATGGGAACCAAAGAGCATTGCAGAGTGTGGCCTTTTCACATCGCAGGAGCTTCAGGCAGCATGGTATGCACCAATCCTGCGCAAAAGAATATTGCACAAGTATCGCAAGATGATATTGTTGCCTCTGTGCAAGGAAGTTGATCGTATTCATGCAAAGGTCTGTTTTTCCCTTTGACTGGAAGTCACTGCTGTCTTCTGATGGTTTACGCGTCATTGGCAAGGCGTGGCTGGCTCCTAGATGTTGGGGCATTTTACGAATTTCTGGAAGATGGCCCTTGCCGCTATTTGGGTCTCAGCTTTTTCCTTTGACTATTTTTTACAAATGTGGTGAACAAGATGCCACTGTGGAACATGCACTGTGTGCTTGTTGATGCATCGAAGAGTGCTATAATGTTCTGAGTGCAGAAGCAGCAAGGGTTCCACCCAGATGGTGTGGACAAGCATTTTTAGAATTTATTTTTTCCACTGATACAGTGCAGAATGATGATAGGTTCGACAAACTTTCGAAATTTGTTGCAGCTTGTATTCACAGGCTTTGCGTCATTTAGTTATTACCTAACATGCTTTTGACATGAGAGGCAAAAAGCAAAGAAGGAAAAGCGGAAGGTGTGTTTGTATCTCTCACATTGTTTTTTCAACACCAAAACGGCTCTTTTTGCTAACACAGACGGTGACCAGTGAAAGACTTGGATCATGTCGCTGTGGGAGCTTGTCCTATCATTTTCCGGGTGTGCAACTTATTGGTGGACCCATTTCGGTCTCTCTCAGCTTTGGGCAATGCAGGACGCAACTGCAACGGCAGTTGTCCTGGTGGTACCATACCATACCATACCATACCAAGGTCTGAAATATATATATATATATTTAATTATATATATATTGTTCCATCTCCATCATTTCTAATATCTTTGATGTTTTAGATTTTAGATTTCATATGTTCTTTTGCAATAGAAATATACATGTGGAGGTAGCCCACCGTGAGGTGGACATACCCTATGCTTTGTGACATGTTTTGATGGTAACCTTTTGCATATTTGGAGGTTTCCTAAAATGCGGGTACCCAAAAAAAACCATGGGTTTCAATAGTATATTCAAATTTTGATGATTTTTGAAGTACCCTCATTGTAGGAAAACACCATTTAGGGTTGTGCGTGTGTTTTATGTAATGGTCCTATAGTTTGTATTATGGTTCCCCAGGGTTCCCTAAGAATCATTTTGTTCTTGAACATTCGTCTAGCATCACAGATAAACATGAGTTGTGTGACCAAAATTGAAAGTGCTTTACAGTTCCACTCAACAACATCCCTCAATTTGTTTATTTGTTGTATTATTTGTTGTATTTCTTATCATCTCTTAGTTGTTTACCCCCTCTGGTGCGATTTTATTTCTCTCCCATGCGCATCTTACATTTGTTAATCCATACACAATTCGCATTTGCTGTTCAACCAATGGTTGATTTTCACCCCCCCCGTCCCTTGCGGCATGAATCTTTTCCAAGCACCTGTAACAGGACATCCAAGAGCAGGAACAGAAGAAGAACGAGGCGCATCGGTCCATCGGTTTAGCCCTGTAATGTTGGGCGTCTACCAGGCACTGACTGATGAATAATCATTTGGTTGGTGGTTTCAAACATTTGTTTTCCATAATATATGGGATAATCCTTCCCATTGACTTTCATATTTTTCAAGATGGTTAAGACCACCAACCAGTTATGGTAACCACAATCGTTTTATCTTAATTTGCATCATGGAAGACAGCTGCTAACTGTCTTCCCCCGGGATATCCGGACAACCGGATAGCCCGTATGTGATGGACCCTCCAAGTCCCACGGATGCTCCTTCTGAGTAGACCCCGTGTTTGGTGAGTAGTGCAAGCAGGAGGATTTCTGAGTTTCTGCCTAACTCTTGGAAAAACAAATGTGTGAATTTAAAGTCCAATTGAATGTGTACAATCTTCAAGAATTGAGGTCTTCCGCTATATTCATAAGGTTTCGTTTCAAAATTGGGAACTTGCCGCAAGATCATGAAAAATCAGGACCCCTTTTTTTGAGCAGAGGATCAAGAAACCACGTCATTGAAGCATCCAGGTACCTTAAAGGGCTATCTTTGGGTGGACATTTCCTTTCACAGGCCTCAAATAGAGGGTATATTTTTCCAGATACCCCGGTTCTTAGGTATCTGATTTTTCCCTTGACATATGTATACCATTGTATACCTATATATATATATATAGATATGGATAGATATCTAATATAAATCCTATACTGGTTGGTGGTTTGGAACATGAATTTCATTTTTCCATTCAGTTGGGAACAATAATCCCAACTGACTTTCATATTTTTCAGAGGGGTTGAAACCACCAACCAGTAGATATATCTATACATGATATATATATATATATGTTTGTTTTTATTCTTCTATTATTGGTTTAAGGGAAAATCTTAACCGGAAACCATCGATTTTCCCATGAAATATGGGGTTTTCCTGTAATATCCTATATACATCCTGTATATCTATTGGGTTTATCTGCAATGATTCAACCAGGGTTTCTGAAGAGGCCGTCAACCGAGCAGCTGCCGCGAAAGAGATGCTGAAGGCAGTGTGGCAGTGTCGATTTGAAGCACCATTGTTTTTGATTATAGATGTTTTTTGGGGGGGATTTTGGTGATACCAAATTATATATGGTAATACCTAATTGTTATTAATTATATATGGTAATTGGATGTGGATTTTTATTTTCTTAAGTCTTAAGATTTGCTTTTAAAAAAACCGTCACCAATTACCATATTACTTGAGATATCTTATGATATTTGCCTTTTTTGGATATAGATGGTATTTTTGCCAATGAATGGGATTCAAAAAAAGTGGGACTCAAGATTTGCAGCAACAAAAATCAGTGGGATTCAACTAATAAAAATGTGATTTTGCCAATGAAAATGAGGCCAAAGGTGGGACTCGACCAATATAGACTCTGATTCCACCACAGAAAGTGAGGCTTTAACCAGGACAAATGTCGATTTTATGCAGAAAACATGTGGATTTGACACAGGTTTTCCAATTGGGATCCTGCCAGCATGAAGCAAAGAGTTTGGAAAAGGTGGATCTGCCACTCCGGTTAAATTGATGAAGATTTTTAGCGACTTTACCTTTGTGCCAGGCTGGCTGATAAGTTGTTTCGTTGCTTGTTTCTTTTGAAACAGCTGAATGGGAGGAGAGGCTCCTTTCCCTGTAGATGAGAAAGGTCTTGTAGTATATCCCTAAGGCAACTTCCGCCCCGCCTCGTGCGGGTACTACTGGTATCTTCCAATCGTATCAAAAATCATATTAAAATCGTAAACAAAAATATTTCCTGAATTTGGCATCCTAGAGGGATTCCGGGGTTATAACATTACTGCTTTCTTTGACGACAGGGAGGTCAAGCAGGTGTTGCAGAAAGTGTGGAACAAGACCAGAGCCTCCGGCGCCAGAGTGGTACACCTTGTTGTGCCGGCGAAGAACGACCCCACAGTGCAACTTGCTGAGATGTACTGCCGGTATGGTACGGCATCATCAAAGGCCAAGACTCTGGCCTTGATGAAATGGATATGCAAATGTACGCCATGCTGGCCAAGGAACGGTTGGACCCGACAATGGAGCTGTTTCGAAGAGGTCTCAACAGACTTCATGACGTATTTAGTGTGCTAGAGATGTACTTCACGTTGAACACGGGAATTGCTCATGACGGTGCATCATGGCTGAGACGTCGGTTGATAGGGAGTGACAGGGCATTCTCCACTCCTGAAGACTTCTTCGGAGTGTATTCGCCCGCCTGGGTCAGGGAAAGGAGCCTCCCCTCCTTTGTCTGTTCGGAATACACTGCTTTGGCTGATAAGAATGGGAATGATCCCAGCTGACCATGACTGATGAAAACGAGGTAAAATCACCAAGAAGGTAGGTTTGATACTTCACGTCTTCACGTCCTCAGGTCCTTCCACCCAAAATTGGGTGCTTTGCATCAAGATATCTCCAAACATCCTGCAGATCGTTTCATAGAGCCATGTTTTGGCCATGAATGGAGGCTTCTTAATTACTAATCAGCTAAGGATTAAGAATGATTAAGCTGCTTGTCTGGTACCCTCCGGTGATTTAACATAGCTATTGAAAATGGCCATAGAAATAGTTGATTTACACATTAAAAAATGTGATTTCCCATTTACCAGAGGGTATGTAAGATACCCGATGACTCAAGAAACTAGGTACGGTTAGGTACGATGTACATCAACAATTGTGTTGGCTTCAGGAAAGCTTCACTTGGATGTGCATTTCAGTTGGCATGTGATTCATGTTGCCATGATTTGTCCCTCAGTAATTGCAAAGGGGACAAACCTTTTGAAATGTTTTTTGTTTAAACCATTTTTACTCATACATATATATATAATATACATGTGTCACTTTTCATTATATATATATTAAATATATATATATGCAATCACTAAGCTGAGGTTTATCATCCAAAATATGCTTACTGTTTGACCAAATCCGCTTTCGTACCCTTGAATCAATGTAAGTCCCATTGTTTATTCTTAAATTTCACTAAAGCCATTTGTGTTGTTGAATCACTGATTGGTGGTTTCGCACATTTATCGGATATTTCAACCATACAACAAGGGATGTTTGGTTGAGGTTGAGATGACAATCATAGTTTTCATAGTTTTGGGATGGTTAAAACCACCAAACATAATATGTAGACTGGGGATATACTTGGTAAATTGATATTGACATATCATGATGGCTGATCTATGACTGGTAATTCTTTGTTGATATGTTAAATCATGTCGATTAAACGGATGTTGATAATTTCTGTTTGATGACTAAGAAGTTCTTCAACCTTGGAAATAGCGGGATATGATCCAACAATGGTTCCTCATTGGATAGGTTTAATAGAAAGTTTACAGGAAATCCTTTTATTTCACGGTAAAAACAATGGTTTCCTCTAGATTTTCCCTTAAACCAATCCAGTGATTATCCCAGGTATCTCATTAATATCCCATTAATATCCGATTAATATCCTTAAGTTAATAAGCCATGTTATAATCCCATATTATTGTGAATCACCAAATCATATATATATATATGATACATATCATATTTTCCAATAATAAAACGACAATATACCATGAATGGCGATATATATATATATATATATTTATCTATATATATATATATATACCATAACAAAACCCATTTCTGCTCAAGTCACGGTTCGAAACAAATCCAGGCGGCGGGGCAGCAAGTCATCGAGCCTTCGCGGCACACGGGGCGGCGTGCCACGGAGCGGGGACCAAGATGGGCGCGGGTAAGGCATGGAGAGTGGCGTGGGGATGGGTTACCCTCTGGTAATGACTCACATAGCTAGTTGTGGTTATTAATGGATAATAATGGTTATTAGTGGTTAATAATGGTTATTTATGGATAATAATGGGTATGTAAGTATGGGAATATCATGGGAATATGATAGGAAGATTGATGGGAATACCTTACGTTACCTTTTTCTTTGTTGATAGATTTAAGGATTATGTTACATGGGTTTAATATGGTTTCATAGGGATTTTCATGGTGATTGATATAGGGATTTTACCAACAATGGGGATATTGATGGGATTTTACCCTCTGGTAATGACTAACATAGCTATTGAACATGGTTTATTGAAATAGTGGATTTACCCATGAACAATGGTGATTTTCCATAGTTATGTTAGTTCACCACAGGGTAGCCCATATTTCCCTATGGATCCAAGTAGCTTAAGAAGTGTTTGAGGTATACTTGTCTATAATTTGGAGGGTCAAGTCATGTCTGGTAAATTAACATAGACCCTGAAAATCACTCATTTTTAGTGGAAACTAATCTACTGCAGGGTCTATGTTAATTTACTGCAGGGTAATTATTGTTTAACTATATGTTTATATTTATTCAGCCACTATATGTGATTCAGATTGATGTAGCCCATCAATATGTTTCGTTGGTTGGTTTTTTATATTAGCAACTATTACAGCACAAATGGAACTGAGTGGGATTTCATACAACCCAGACTCATTGTAATAAACAATGGTTGAAATATGGAAGTGCCTCATATGGATCAATATATCATTGCAACAATGTATGAGCAACAATGATTACAGCAATGGAACTAAGTTACTTTTTTTGGCAATCTAGTAATATTACACATTGTTACATTCCCAGACTTCGGGCGCTGCGCTTCATTGGCAGCCCAGCAGATGATTTCCCATGCGGATGGCTGTGGCCAGGATGTAGATAAGTATGTGCAGCATATGTAATATATCTGGCTGGTGGTTTCAAACATTTTTTATTTTCCATAGTACATGGGCTAATCCTTCCCACTGACTTTCATATTTGTCAAGGTGGTTAAAACCACCAACCAGATATACGTAGTAGTTGCTAATATATAGTAATTGCTAAGCCTTGTGAAGGTTTAATGAACCCCCCAAAGAGGGGCAGACATGCTTGAATCAATTTGAAGAAAGATTTTTATAACCAACCAAATCAATCAGGGTACAATAGTGATCTACTGGCATATGTATATTAAATAATACAGTAAATGGGTTTTAAAATGACCATTTAACAAACCAATGTAGTATTGTATTGTATTGGCGTCCATCATCGAAGTTTTGGTGATCTAAGTGGGAAAATTAAACATGGCGGGCTAATGGAATATAAGGGTTAGTACAGTTAACGCAATAGTGATATGGGGTTGACCAGCATCGACCGCGGGTTTGACGTTGGTGCATAAACAATTCAGCTGTAGATATATTTACATATTACCATAAACCCTAGTTGCTGTAAACTATAATAGTTTCTAAAATGAAAGTATCGATCCCATTGTTTGATGATTACTGTAAACTGTAAATAATATGTATAATTATTTGTTGGGTGGAAATCATCTCAAATTCATGAACATTTTCATTTTTGGTAGCTCAAGTCCAAGGTTTTTTGTGAAATCCCAATATGTACTCCTTAACTTTCCTGTCTTTGCTGCTTACTGTAGATGCCCCACGATTTCCTTTTTTGATCGCATCTGGTGGTTCATGGCACTTAGTAAGTAGGTTATAACCCCAGTTAAAAGTGGGGTAAGTCGGGTTACTTATACCTGTGGGCAACAGCAACTTACAATTGACACGAACATTTTCTGCATGGTAAACATCAAACCAGATTTTTCCAATTTGTTAGTGGTAAAAAATCCATGAACATCTCAAAACATTGACAACTTGTTGATGTGAGTTTACTACAATCCCATCAAACAAGCTATGAACATCTCATGTTTTCTGCATAAAATCAATTCTCATTCGCCTACAAGGGCGCATATCTTTCTGTGTGCTGAGGACTTCGGAGTGATGGGGCGCAAGGAGAATCCACCAGAGCCAGTGTCACCATCAGGCGGAATGAGTTGGGACTGTTTGTTATCGATGGTGATTTTGTTACATGAGGATAGACATTAGTGGCTATTACTTGTTATTTTGGTTATAAATGGTTAATCATGGTTATTAGTGGTAATTATTCAAATTCTCCATTAAAAAACATTTATCTGGTTGGTGGTTTGGAACATGTATTTTATGACTTTCCAGATATTGGGAATGTCAGCATCCCAACTGACGAACTGCATCATTTTTCAGAGGGGTACGGCTCAACCACCAACCAGATATATAACCATCATTAACCATCATTAACCACCATTAACCATCATTAACCATCATCAACCATCATCTATAGATGCCATTTAGAAACCAACCAGTGTTACATTTTTGGATGGACATTAACCCATCATGTTGGATTAATTATGGGGATGTTTTTTCTGGAATCCGATCACGTAACAATGGTCATGCTTTTCAGGAACCGATTGAGGACGGAGGTACCGGTTCCATTAATATAAGGCTTATTTTTTACGCCTATGTAAGGCAATATTCAGGTTTTCTTCATTTGAATGGGATTGATGTCAATGTGGCCATGGAACATGATGAGAACATCACGGGGGTTCGGTAACCCTCTCCATTTCCCTGACCTCCCCCAAAGGTAAATCTGTTTTTTTTTTACATAAGCCCTTATTAGTTGTTGGCGGTTAACAGATGCAAACATGGAAAAACAATGTTTACTTGTATGGAGTTAGGTGGGATTGTATGGGATAAGATCAACTTGTAAAATGGGACTAATTAATGTAATGACAGTATGGATTATAGCATTCGAACTATTTATGTATGTTCATTCAAACAAACCATATAATTCTAGGCTAACTTGGCTGAGTTTGCACTTTGTTTTCCAGACAAGCGTGGCTGGAATACCTCCATATTTCTGGCACAAGCAGTTGGGTGTTTACCTTGCATATTCCATCACTTTGCCATGGTTTCTGCCATGGTTGCTGCAGAGGTAGTTATTAACCAACTTAGCTATCAAGGGGGCCCCACATTGTATGTGTATATATAATATGTCTATGTGGGTTTGTCTGAAAATAGAGGAACCCCAAATTTGCTGGTTGACGATAATGTTCCGTATTAAACTTTGCTCTTTGAGGGTATATTTTCGGACAACCATAATCTAATGATCATAACATAGAATAACAATCGATATCTACTGACTACAAATGAAACTTAGCTGGTTGGTGGTTTGGAACATTTTTTTCCATATATTGGGAATAATGCTCCCAACGAAGACTGTACGCTGGAAGTTATATGAGTTTACAGATTTCGACGAGTTACAACATGTATATAAACCTTCTACAACATGTCTATAACCTGCTTGCAAGTATGTAAAGTGTCATAACATTTGATAAGTAATTTGTAAGTTTAGCTAGCCGGCTACGAGAAGTTGTAAATGTTTAGGTAAAATATACATGGTTAATGAACTTATCGTAAGTATCTTAACTGCATGTTTTCTTTTTATAACTATGTTAACAGACTTAACATAAGTATGTAGGAAAAGTTATCATAAGTTATCTGAAAGTTAACAAAAGTTATAAAAAGTTACAAAAAGTTAGTATAAAGGTACATAAAGTTAAAAAATATGTTTACAAGAGGGCAATGAAAATGTTTATTTATTTTACATTTTTCGAGAGTTTCATTAAGTTTGTGACAAAGCTTGTCAACATTTATACAGGGTGAAACAATCTTTCTGTTTGTGGAAACGATGTTGTTCGCAGGCAAATTTTCTGAGAAGACAGTTCCTGAGAAGGATCCGGTCTGAGAAGACAGTTCCTGCAAAGGAAAGAGTTTGAAATGACAATTCCTGAGAAGGATTCGGTCTGAGAAGACAGTTTCTGAAAAGGATTAATTCGTCGATTTGATACCTTTCCCCTATAAATGTACCTAGATAGCTATAGTTCAGCTATAGTTCAGCTATAGTTCAGCTATAGTTCAGCTATAGTTCAGCTATAGTTCCGCCATAGTTCCGCTATAGTTCCGCTATAGTTCCACTATAGTTCCGCTATAGTTCCGCTATAGTTCCGCTATAGTTCCACTATAGTTCCGCTATAGTTCCGCTATAGTTCCGCTATAGTTCCGCTATAGTTCCGCTATAGTTCCGCTATAGTTCCGCTATGGTTCCGCTATAGTTCCACTATAGTTCCGCTATAGTTCAGCTATAGTTCCACTATAGTTCCGCTATAGTTCCGCTATAGTTCCGCTATAGTTCCGCTATAGTTCCGCTATAGTTCCGCTATAGTTCCGCTATAGTTCCGCTATAGTTCCGCTATAGTTCCGCTATAGTTCCGCTATAGTTCCGCTATAGTTCCGCTATAGTTCCGCTATAGTTCCACTATAGTTCCGCTATAGTTCCGCTATAGTTCCGCTATAGTTCCGCTATAGTTCCGCTATAGTTCCGCTATAGTTCCGCTATGGTTCCGCTATAGTTCCACTATAGTTCCGCTATAGTTCCGCTATAGTTCAGTTGCAACTAAACTTATTTCCAGATCCAAAAATACAGACAGAGATATCACAAAAAAAAACATATCGCCTCAGGTGTCATGATTCCTGAAACATACATAACTGAAACGCTTTCACATCACTTCGTCGATTCAAAAAAAGGATATCATATCTGAAAGTTCTTTCAGAAACAAGACAGTTATAAAATCCACGTGGTCGGAAACCAAGGCAAAGACTTTCAAAAGTATAAAAATATACAAAAAAGTTACAAAAAGTTATGAAAAGTTATAAAAAGTTAGCAGAAGTTATAAAAAGTTAGCAGAAGTTACGAAAAGTTAAGACAAAACTTACAAATAAGTTATTAAAGTTAACATAACTTCCTTTTATCTTTTTGATAAGTCATGCTAACTTCCAACATAAATCCTTTAACTTCTGTATATCTAGGCTAAGTCTGTAAAGTCTTATAACTTTAAGCGTACAGTCTTCGAACTGACGAACTCATATTTTTCAGAGGGGTAGGTATACCACCAACCAGTTAGTATTGATGATTGCACGTGCCGGGTGCGACATCAATCCGCCTTTTGGGGCACCGTTCGGAGTATCTGATCCACACAGTTTCAAAGCCACCAAATTATGGCTTACCGCAAATAGCCCAAGCAGATTGCTAAGCAAGAAATCGACGCGACGTGGCCAGAACGGTGAGATGCATGGAAACGAGAAAACCAGAAAACCGAGAAAACCGAGAAAACCATAAAACCAAGAAAAACGAGAAAACCGAGAAATGCGGCCAATAGTGCTAGTCTCCTCGGCGTTTTCCTGTTCTCGCGGTTTTCGCGTTTTCGCGGTTTTCGCGTTTTCGCGTTTTCGCGTTTTCGCGGCTTTCAATGCTGTCTCGCAGTTTTCGTGGTTTTTGCGTGTTTCGCGGTTTTCGTAGTTTTCGTGTTTCGCGGTTTTCGCAGTTTTCGTGGTTTTCGCGATTTTCGCGTTTTCGTGGTTTTCTCGCAGTTTTCGCGATTTTCGTGCTTCGTGTTTCGCGGTTTTCGCAGTTTTCGCAGTTTTTGTTTTTTGGCTGCTTGCGCCGTTCTTGTTGTTTTCGCATTTCCACCTTTGATATTTCATGCGGGATGCAGTAGCTAAATTAAACCAGGTGGACACTGAGTTAGGTTTAATTTTTTTGGTTTAATTTAAAAAATCTTACGAAAACAGGGGGTCCACCCACCTCCTTAAGATCCTGAAGAAAGTTGAGTTGGTTTAATTTTGAGATGTGACCCACCCCATGGTTTAATTTCAGCTGTTTTAGCTCATTGTGCTGCCTCGTGTTCCGCCTCGGGATACTGCAGCCATGGTTCCTGACACGTGTCCTAGCACAGCTCCGTGAAGACGATCCGGCGTGGACAGCAAGGTTCTTGCACAGTTGGGAACAGCATTGCTGCAGCCCAAATGCTCCATCTCAAGCAGAGCAAGTCCATGGGAAAGGTGCTGCGGGACCATGGTAAACTGTTTCTATCTGTTTCGGGCCCCTTGCGTGATCCCAGATCAGGTCAGAATAATTAATCAAGGGGTGGGTGAGTCCATACGTACTGAACATTCATTCATCAGGACACCTTTGGCACCATAATATTCATGGGATTTATGGTCACCAGAATAATTAAACAAGGGGTGGGTGAGTCCACATGTACTGGGCATTCAGGATCAGTGCTTCCATTGGGGCACCCCCAACACCATAATATCATACAATATCCATGGCATTGATGGTCACCAGAATAATTAAACAAGGGGTGGATAAGTCCACATGTTCTTGGCATTCATAAAGATTCATGTATTGGGATACCTTTGGTGTTATCATGATTCATTGTTTTTCTTGAATTTTCATCTTTGGTCATCACAAAGGAAAGAACCTGATGGAATCTCATTGGAGTGCAAGTTGATCATGGTGGAGAGAGATTGGTGAGATATAGGTGTCAAAATAATCGAAAGTAGCAAGTCCAATGAGATTCCATCAGGTTCCTTCCTTTGTGATGACCAAAGATGAAAATTCAAGAAAAAACAATGAATCATGATAACACCAAAGGTATCCCAATACATGAATCTTTATGAATGCCAAGAACATGTGGACTTATCCACCCCTTGTTTAATTATTCTGGTGACCATCAATGCCATGGATATTGTATGATATTATGGTGTTGGGGGCGCCCCAATGGAAGAACTGATCCTGAATGCCCAGTACATGTGGACTCACCCACCCCTTGTTTAATTATTCTGGTGACCATAAATCCCATGAATATTATGGTGCCAAAGGTGTCCTGATGAATGAATGTTCAGTACGTATGGACTCACCCACCCCTTGATTAATTATTCTGACCTGATCTGGGATCACGCAAGGGGCCCGAAACAGATAGAAACAGTTTACCATGGTCCCGCAGCGCCTTTCCCATGGACTTGCTCTGCTTGAGATGGAGCATTTGGGCTGCAGCAATGCTGTTCCCAACTGTGCAAGAACCTTGCTGTCCACGCCGGATCGTCTTC